CTGTGTTCCATGTTAGTTTACTAAAACTGGAACATTCGTCCCCTTTGCAGCCAAACCAGGACTCTCCTTCTGTCCCCATACTGATAGAAGGGGAACAACATTTTGAAGTTAAGGCAATCCTGGATTCTAGGAAGCATCACGGTAAAGTGCAGTATTTGGTGGCTTGGAAGCATTTCCCATTATCTCAAGCTGAATGGGTGAATAAACATGATGTCCGGGCACCAAAGAAAGTTCAGTTGTTTCACACCAAATATCCTGATAAACCCTAATTTCTGTGTTATGTTGTTTTCTCTTTCCCTATTTAGGACTAACATCTCTTCTGCAGAGGGGCCGAATGTCAGCCTCCGCCTTTTCTGCTTTGGCTGCCATAGCAATGGGAGGGGGGAGAGCAGGTAGCATGGGGGGGGAAGCGTTCTGGAGGAGGAAAACAAAACCGATAGTTAAACCACCGGACTGTATAATTAAAGCTGCTGTCGAACGGTCGTGGCATTCCTGATTGATGACGCTGGCAGACGTGTGCTTTCACTTGACCCCTGGGAGACCTTTGGATTGGATGATTTACGTTGGACAGTGGGAGGGGATGCTTTCTATATGCACTTTTCGCGCGTATTGCCTTAGATTCTGCTTTCCTATGGTTGCGTTCACTTCATCTCTAGTAAAAGTACCTTTCTCTATAAACAATGGAGTTTGCGTCATTCTTTCCTGGACTTTGAAGGAAGCACACCTGACATTTGGCTTATTTGAATGCTAAGCCAGTGCATTATCCACAATTTAATGATGGGCAAACAACCAATCTAGATGTATCTATAGTAAACCATGCTCCTGAGATATTAGGGTATGTGTTTCCTCACCACAAGCTATCTGCTTTCACTTCAAAAGAAAGTACCTTCATTCTCAAACAACCCCTAACTTTTGTAACAGTTGGGAATAACTCTCTGGACTCTCACCTGCCTATTTCATTCATACACATGGGAGTGTCTGGGATATAATACTGAATAGACAGGCCAACAGCTTGACACCATCTGGCATAATTTTTGTTTGTCTGAATGTTTCTTATTTAGTTATTCAATCATTTCCAAATAAAAATTAACTTTAGCCTGCTATTATTGTTTAGTTTGTATCAACATCACCATCTTCTGGCTGAAAAGGGAATATCTCACTAACATCCAAAATATTTTGCAACTGAGGCATTAAACATGGGACAGGGGGGGGAAAACCACTGCATCCCATTTTGAATCCAACAACTATCTCATCTATCATCCTTGTCAAGTGATAGGAACCAACTTTATAGTATTTTAATTTCAGCAAACTGAACTCTATCAAAGATGAAAATGGAATAGAGAGATAGCTTTACATTTTTGAAAGGAGAACATTTGTGCAAGGCTAGCCCAATGCAATCTTTTGGAAGGGCCTTCCAAATCCATGATTTTAAATTGGTTGGTACTTTTCAAACAGATCTTAAAGTGGAATATACATTTTTGCCTTCTAGCTATCTTTAATGCATCCTGCTGCTACATGACCTTGACTTCTGATCCATAGGTGGAAGAAAATTCTTCCTTACATTCTTCCCTCTCCTGTTTTTCAACTTTGCTTTACTCACATCTTAAAATATGATACAGAACTCTTTCTGGATCTATTTTATACATTTAGAAACCTTCACTCAAAATGCTACCAGAAAATACTTCCAAAGGACATTTTAATTGAGAGTCCTATCAAGCTTACAGTCAGACTGTGAGAACAGTTATCCTCCCAAAAAATTACGTCAATATAGCCATACTGACTAGAAACTGTAGTATAAGTATCAGGAAGTTAGGGAAGGGTAGGATAATTCCCCGTTTATATCTGCATACACAAAATATATCCTTTCAAAGTTAACTTTCTACAGGAATTAAGTGAAAAACATGAGAGGATTGAATAGGGTGCTTATCACAGATAGAATATATTTTGGAGATCAAAGTAGCATTTAAGAGAGACAAGAAGGGATGATAAAAGGCAGTTAGCATGGAAAATTTTTCCCACTATGTATTCTAGAATGGGTGTGGGATACTACACTTAACTCTTCCTAATTAAAGGAACATGATTTTTCTGACAATTCATTACAACTAAGTATTCCACTAACCACCCAGGCATGTATTTGCTTCTCTGTAAATTTTCCACATAATTAAATAGAAACTACAATTCTCGTTTTATTTTTATTATTATGGGTTTCTTCACAGTACTTAAATCATTTAAAATACTGAACAACTTTGTACTATTTTGAGGACACAAATGACTCCATTGTTCTCAAAGATCTGATTGTACCTCTGTTCCCAAACCAGTTGCAAGCACACTGTGTTTTAATATTGTTTGGGCCACAAAATGTTTCTGTTGAGAAAATTAGATTTCTCCCGTGTATGATTGCTGCTTAATGGTTGTTGTGAGCTTACCCTTCTTGCCAATGGACAGGCCTAATACCTCAATGCACACAGAATCCACATCTTTTGGATCATCCGGGGGAGATACTCACTGTCATGGAGGCATACATAGTCCAGACACACACAAACACAAACACGTACAATTTAATAATTGATATCAAAACCATGGAGGCTTTTAAAACAAGGGGGAAATTGGAAAAGAAGCAGACAATGCTGTGCAAAGGCTGGAGAACTACTGAGGGGGACCATCTCCTCAGTTTCTGATAAACTGCTAGAATTGCCAGGAAACTGAGAAGTGCAGATGTATTATAGCAGAGGGAAAGCCTGTTTTAAGAGTTCTTTATTTCTGCAGCAATCAGTAAAAATGTTTAGCTAGAATTTTGCAATAAATTCTTTTCTGTGGGGTGCTACTTGTTTTTATTTCTCTGTAAAAAGTATAGAAATGGGTATTTAAACCTCAGTTTGCATCCATCCTTTCAGACTGTGTGCGTTGAAGTTACAGCATTTCTGTCCATCTCTTCTGAAGTTCTGGTGGAAATGATCCTTTTGTAGCAAACCAGCTCCATCTTGTCATATGCTGGTGCCATTTTTGCTTTTCTAGTTTTCTTATAAGTTGCTGAACAGCTACGTCTTTTATATTTGCCAACATTGACAGTTCCTATTTTGATTTTTAATGGTGAAATGTGACTATATTTAACACTTTTTTTAAAATTGCTCTGTTGTGAACCATTGTTCAAGAGGGAGGGGAGAGAAGAGCTGAACCTATAGTTCCATGCCTTCATGCTATGTGGCCAAAAATGGGGCCCTTTTATTTATTATATGTATGTATGTATGTATGTATGTATGTATGTATGTATGTATGTATTTTATTTATTTCCATTTTTTAACTTTTTCACAACCCCAAAGCATAGGTTGTAAAAGTCCTCCCCCAAAAGAGACACAAGTGTACATTGGCACACTTTGGAAAGTAGCGGTGGCATCAGGAGCTACTAAAGCAGAAGGTAGAGTCAGGAAGTGATGTCTAAAAGAAGCATTCCACCCTTTGGATTCAGCTATTCCACTACAATTGATTTAAAATATGGCCTCGGAAAAAGGCACCCTCCAGAAAGGGCCTATTCTATCAAGAGGGGCATCTCCAGCCCATCTTATTTTGGCACTTCGATTTAAAATAAGCTTGCTAGATCAAAACAGAATTACATAGTCCAGACTGCTGTTCCTGCAGAGTTCAATCAAATACCTTTTGAAAGCCCACAGTAAAAGTTCTTTGTTATTTGTTTTAACCCTTAAAAGTTTAAACAGTTTGGTGCCATATTAAGAAACGTAGCCACCTCAGTGTTCATTCCAAACTTCAGAACATTGATGAAGATGCTGGAAAACCCCAATCTTTAAGGGAATCCACTGTGTGTATCCTACACTTTGCTGTTGAAAGTTCTAATCATGTGTATTAGATCACCCTGGAAATATGCTTGTTGATATTCTTGTATCACTAAACAGTGAGTATGTTAAGCTTTCCCCTTGCAGAATTATGTTAATTTTTCAATCAGAGATGTTTTAGGAGTCAAAAGCTTGGAAATTTAATAGTGTTGTTGGACCAGTTTATCTGGAAGAAAATCATTAAGCCATATCACTTCCCGGATCCATTTAAAAATAGTGCTCACTTTCAAGTTCTCTAGTAGAAAGGACAGTTCTAAGAACATATTATACTATATGTTTTTGTTAGGAGAGCACAAATGTTACATTTGAGTTGGTAATATATTCTGTTCATCATCAAGAGAGACAATATAATGCAGTATAGTGGTTAAATCGGGGCATGATGGCTCAGCAGTTAGACACTGAGCCTGTCAGCTGGAGAGATGACAGCCCAGATTTGAGACCCGAGCTTCGTGTAACAGGGTGACCTCCCATTACTCACCCCCGTTCCTGCCCACCTAGCAGTTTGAAAGCCTGCAAATACAAGTAGATTAATAGCTATCACTTTGGTGGAATAGTAAGTGTTCTGTGCACCTTTGGTGTATAGCCATGCTGGCGACATGACCATGAAAATTGTCTTCAGATAACGCTGGGTCCCTGCCAGGAAACAGAGATGAGCATTGTGCCCTAGAGTTGAACACGACTGACAAGGAAAACTTTACCTTTACCTAGTGGTTAAATATGCTGAATTAAGAACAGGGAGACCTGTATCCAGTTTGCTCCCAGTCATGGAAGTTCATTGGATGACTATGGGAATCAGCGCAGCCTGCCTCACCGAGTTGCACTTTTGGAGAAATATCAGAAAAGGAAGTGCTACCTATTCTGCCCTAGACTCATGGTGGAAAGGCGCGTTATAAAACTAAAAAAAGAGCTTAATCCACGGTGACAATTATGGAGACAGCAAAAAAACACACCACCTTTTAGATTCCTAAACATGTCAAACAAGACTACTCCTTCTTGTTTGAATAACTTACTTCCTTTTTCAGTAGCATTTGTTTATTTTCTTAATTTTATTCTTTTAAATATTTTTTTCCATTTCCATTTCCCACATCCTTTAAAAGAAAAAAGGACACTTTTTTAAAACAAGTATTTCCTGTAATAAGACAGGATATCAAGTCAACTGATTAATTTTATTTATTTATTTATTTATTTTTTAAATTTATATACCGCCCTTCTCCCGAAGGACTCAGGGCGGTGAACAGCCAAAGGTAAAAAAACATAGAATACAAAAATTAAAAGCAATTTAAAATATATTAAACAATTTGGCCCAACAATTAAAATACCCCATTTAAAATTCAAATTAAAATTAAACAATTGGAGAAGTTAGGCAAGCCTGGCTTGTTGAAATAAAAAAGTCTTGAGGGCCCGCCGAAAGTACGTAAATCAGGAATCGTCCGTATCTCCGGGGGGAGCTCGTTCCAGAGGGCAGGTGCTCCCACAGAGAAAGCTCTCCCCCTGGGGGCTGCCAGTCAACATTGTTTGACCGACGGCACCCCGAGGAGCCCCTCTCTGTGGGAGCGTATTGGCTGGGGGGAGGCTCTCAGTGGCAGAAAGCGGTCTCGTAGATATCCAGGTCCTAAGCCATGGAGCATTCTAAAGGTGGTCACCAACGCCTTGAATCGCATTATCAACAATGCAGCATGCAAAATAAAACTGCAGAAATATTTGTCATCTGGGTAAACATCTCTTATGTACAAAGTATTTTTTTAAAAAAATTTTCACTTAGGAATAATTGTTTTGTCAAGATTGAAAATCAGTGCACTATAAAAATTTAGATTGCTAAAATTCATGGGAGAAAATAGTCAAACTATGCAGTTCATATTGGGAAACTGGGAAGGCTTTTAAAGATTCAGAGGTAACTGGGTTTAGTCTTGGCAAAGTAAAAAGAGGAATAATATCTCTAGCAAGTTTAACTTTAGATGGTATTAAGCCCTCAGGGTCAAAGGAGGAAAACAGATCTGAGTATATTAATAGAGGTAGCCTTTAAATCCTACACTCCCTCCATTGCCCCATATACCAAAAAGGCATTTTATGCTCCCTCACAGGATTGTGCTATCACATCATGTAGAAAACACTCCTTGCAAAGTCTGCTAGGACAATTAGGCTGACCTCCATGGTCCTATGCATGCATGCTATGAGACAGTATGGGGATGGGGTGGGGGCTAAATCTCTTTTCAATAAATGGGGTGACTAATCTATTGTCTGTGAATACCTCTCTAGGCATCCATCAGACTAACTAAGCTATCTGGCTATTTAAAAAAATAACTGGGAAGTGGCCAATTAATTGGTCAACCTTCAGCACAATTTTATGTTACTTCCTGTGCCCTTCAGCAAGATAATGGTAGGATGTAAGTATGTGCAAAACGTACCTTTTGGGACTCAGAACAATCCAGAACGCTGGAATGCACAGTAGCCCAGCACTTGTGTGTTTTTATGTTTTTTTTCTTCAGTACACACTCTGTGAAAATATGCATTTTGCTATTAACATACCAGCTGGGATCAGACACTTTAGACCTTTTGCCCTTTTCTGTTCCATTTTCTCCCTGCGTACTTTATTAATTTGACCTTGTCCTGCTGTTGCTAAACCCCAGGAAGTTCAAAATTAGATCTCTTTCATCCATGATCTAAATTTGGATGAGGGGACCATTGGGACAGAGATGGCAAGGGAGCTGCATTTTAGTCACTATCTTGCCTGATATATTCTATATTACATTGACAAAGATTGAAGGATGGGGGGAAGGAAGGTTGCAATGATCAGTAGGAACTTCATCTTTCTCTCAGATTTCCAGTGCACCAGAATGCTGATTTTGAACCTTTGCATTTGGGACATGTTTAGGATTCTACAGGTATAGCGCTCCCTCTGATGCAAAATAGTCTTCTTACCTGAGCTAGCATATGTGATTTTGGACTTGATGTTGAAGAGCCTCAGATTGGTGATCTTAAGGGACAACCATTCGCATGGCTCAGCATGCCCACTGGTATGTCTCTGATTTTTTGGATACCATGCTGATCATGGAACCATCCCAAAATGTCACATACTCTGGATGTTGTTTGTTAGTTGTTAAAGATGATGACAGTAATGAACATTTCCCTGTCATCTCAGGATTAACGTTATCTGCTAAGATTAATGTTCTTTTTATTTCTGCAGGAGTGGGAGACTTATTAAATAACCCACCACCAGAAGCCAATGAAATGTCTATGACTGGTTTTCCTGTCAAAGATCTTGCGATACTGTGGGTCATGCATGCAATTGAGACTGGCTGCCTAGCAGAGCCAGATTAGCTGCTTGATACATTGGAGATAAAAGTAATGAAGCTTAGCCTATTATGGCTAGAATGCAACCAGAGGAAAATAGACAAAATCCAATTCTACATAGATAAAGAACACTATCAAAACGCTTGTGGAAATTTAGATAAAAAACTGTTAAGTCTTTAGATGAAAAAGATTTGTTAATTCTCTCTCTCAAAAGGAATTATAATTCAATCCTCAAAAGCTTGCTATAAGAGTGCAAAATATGATCTGCCAATACCGGTAACTATTTATCTAAATTCACCTTCCCAGAATGGCTGGGGGTGAATGTACTAAATCCATTTAAAGCATTTTTCCTTTGGGTAGCCTTTGATTCTATTCTGTGAGAACGACTCTGGAGGAAATTAGCCATTACAACACTAGGCAGTTGTCTTCTTAGGCTAATAATGCTATTATACCAAGGCACAACCGCTCAAGTAAAGAAAGGGTAATATTTCTTGATGACTTAACTGAAGCCCTTTTAAAGCAAAACTGTATCCTTCCCACACTATTATTCAACATTTACATTAACAATATTGAAATGTCTGCTAAATCAGAATTCCATCCTTCCTCCCATGCCCATCATCCCATCTCCTTTCTCCTTGATGCTGATGATGTTGCCAGCCAATCTGTAACCCAAGTAAGCCTTTGAAGATGACTTGAAACTCTTATCATTTTACTACTGTAGGCAACACCTCAAAATAAATTACTCCAAAACAGAAGTAATGCTACTATATTCTCCAGGAAATGCTTTAAGATCGCAGTTAGAAGGACAATTAACAGCAAACTCATGGACATAAATGGCTTTAAATATCTGTCTTTATGTTCAGTCTTTTAACCTGCTGGTCCACTCAAACAAGACAATTTCTAGCAGAACCTCAAAATTATCTCTTGCAACTTGCAGATCAATTTGGAAACGATTATGTCTCATTGGTTTTCTTGAATTATTTAAAGCCAAAGTTCTGGGTTTGATGCCATACGGTGTTCATTTGTGTATTAATAAGAGGCATTCAGATTTTGAAGCAATCCAAGCCAAATTGTTGAAAATCACAGGGGCCCAATTAAAACTTTTTCATTGGCTAAAGCCAGTCTAGGGGGAACCTACCTTGCTGGGTAAGTTCTCTTCTAACCAAAGACTAATGAATACTTGGCAGTATTACCTTCTCAGCACTATCTGCTTTGAGCCTTAATAAAATTTTGGCTGAACTAAAACAGAAAATTTGGGATCTAGATATGCAAAATCATAGACCAACATTTTTAATATATCTTTTTAAAGCACAATCATTCTTTCTCCCTAGTCTCCCTTCCTATTATATTTCCGTAAGATTTTATACGCTCCATAAAGGAGACTTTACTTTGGCTTAAATTGGAACACTACCTATTAGGGAAGACCTGGTAGGTATATAAATGCCCCATATGAAAGCTGAACTTGTTTTTGTTCTGTAGGAAGTTAGCACCCACCCTTCTCCTAGAATGAAATATTCTAGGAAATGTTTAAAAGGCAGAATATTGTACCTCCCTGGATGAGAAGATACATGCTCTTGGAAAGCAGCCCCCTACCTTTGTTAATAGCCCCAGAAAGACTGGGACACCCTATCTACAGGACAAAAGGCTGGGCCAGTTTATCTACAACACAAAAGACCTTCACCCTCAGGACATAATAGAATTAGCCCTCTACCCATCTCACTACAAGGCACCTGGGAAGATTACATCACCCAGCAAGATTTAGCCAAGCCTGGGACTCAAGACAACCTACAAAGTTACCCCTGGATGGTTCCATGGGAGTCTGACAACCAATCAAAATACATTTCTTTCACAGGAACAGGAAGCTCCAATGTGCTCATTTTGCCCAGGATCTCAAACTATGTGGTCCTGTCCACCATTAAACCATTTTTCCAAACAGCTTCCATGTTTCCAGTGTCTTTCTCCCCACTTGGAACTGAACCCAGATGGACATTTCTTCCAACAGTTCAGGCTCAGAGGTAAAATCCGTCTCATGTGCTATTAAAATGCCAGCAATCAAGTTAATAATTCCACTTGTTAGTAACTCTAATGGAAGCGGCCCACTTGTGGCCTTCTGGGATGAATTTGTAAAATACTTTGAAATAAAAATCACTTGTAATCAGTTTGAGTTGGATGATTTCCCATTGCTGAAACATAAAGATGCAGATAAAGTTCAATCAACCACTGTCAGGTTTCATTCTTGCTCACTTTGACTTATATTTAAAACAGGAAACATGCATAGCATAGCTTCTGAAATTTTGTTCAATCCCCTTTCCCACAATAGCCATAGGCATTATCTTTTTGGTGTGTGTTACAAAATAAGGTGGGCTAGCTTTGTGTATCTGCTCTACCCTAATTTTATTTTTATATTTATGTGGGCCATGAATGTACAGAGTGGACTGCAGACTGATTTTTTTCCTCCTTTGCAGTTTTTTCCTTTTTTTTTTAATTCCCTACAATTTTTTTCCTACAGTCCCTGCAATTTTCTTTGTTAAGTTTTGGAAGTGGTTTGCCGTTTCCTGCTTCCTAGAGCAGGGGTCCCCAACCCCCGGTCTGTGGACCACCACCAGTCCATGGCATGCCAAAAGCTGGCCCGTACAAACAAGTGAAGCCCTGTCCACAGAGTGCAGCACATGAAGCCACACCCTTCTGTCCATGGAAAAAACTCTCTCCACAGAACCGGCCCCTGGTGCCCAAAAGGTCAGAGGCCACTATCCTAGAGAGTGACTGGCTTTAGGTTGCTCAATTGGCCTCTAGCCTAAGGCAGACTGGAACTCAAGTCTCCCAGTTTCTATTCTGATGCCTTAACCACTACACAAATGTCCTCCCTCTACTTTAATTTTCTACACTTAAAGACAACCCTTACAATACATTTGAGTATCAAAATGCTACAGTAATTAAAATATTATTTAAAAACTCAGCGGACTTTAATCACTGCCTAGTAATATTTTCCTCCCTTGCAAACTTGCAATAAAATATATTTCTTATATTTTAAATTCCCAAATGTATGCAATTTTAGCTTTAGTAGAAATTTAATTAAATACAGGGAGATAGATATACATACCTTTACTAGCTGTACAGCTATGTAATAACGGGTAATGGTTGAAAGCATATGAAACAAAAGTTCTGCAACAGTGAGATGTGGGAAATTACTTGCAATTTCACTTGTAGCCTGTGACAGAACAGCCAGTAAGAGATTGCTAAAGATATTTGTCTGGAAGTACACTAAGTGTTTATAAAGACTAAGGGCTCTCATTCCTCTAACACAATATAAACAGGAAAAAAGAGAAAGTGTTGGAGCTTTATTATGCACCTCACTGGCTCATTCACATACAGGAGTTAAGGTTCTGAGAAAAGTTAATGAACATTCAAGATGCTTAAATGAAAGAGAAAGCCTAAATATTCTGAAGGAGAAAGCGTTCAAGAGTTCATTGCTGATACGAGGGCTTCTGTGAAAATAAATCAATTGGGCAGGGCCAACATTGTTCAGTCACTGAAAATATGACTCTTCTTAAAAACTGTTGTCCTAGTAAAGGCACACTGAATTGTCTGCAGCATTTCTAGTCAGATTGTAATCTGTAATCCAGAATCAAGTCATTCCATGTAAGAATCTGAGCACTTTTGTTAGGGAGGAAAGGGAATGTCATTTAAAAAAAATCATAAAAGCAAAGATCAATCAAGCACTTAAAAAATACAGAACTCGATGTCCAGAAAGCAAACATTAGAACTTTCTAAGTAACCATAATCTTTGAAAATCTTCAATCTAGATTCCTTCCATGGACCAATGCTTTTAAATATCTATTGTTTGTAGTACTTTGAGGGACAGTCTTCCTTCTCTGTTGTACAACTACTTCTGAACATTAAGGATTTTTTAAAATGCAAATAGTATGGGTATGTTCATAGAATTCAACAGTCCTTGGTTAAATTCCACCTTGCTCAACAGACTGAGAGATTCAGAACCCATTCATGTAACTAACACTTATGATGAAAAATCAAGAGCTTTTTTGGTGTGATTTTAGATTTTTCACCATTGTGATTTAACCTAAACTTTGAAGAATGTTCCCAAACATTGCACCATTCTAATCTACTCCACACATAAAATTACTCAAATGAGAGGCTGCAGTATGATATAGCATAATACAAGCAGGTCTAATCTTGGAACATTCCCTGTTTGGATTCAATGTAAGATGTACATTTTACTTCAGATAAATAATTACATGATGTCCTGGAAAGGACTCCCTTGAAGGGGAGCATATGAAGATCATTCTGTAAGTCTGCTGAGCGGCTCTCTTGTTCCACCAATGCCCTTATTGCCAACTATCCTGTCTAAAGGATCTTTGAAGAGAGATGGAAGAAGGCACATGGCAATCATCACATAATACTCTCCCCAGTAGTGGAAAGCCATTACTACCAATTTCAAAGGTCTATTGAGATTATATTTACTATTGAGATCAGATGAAAAATGTTCATCTAATGAACCAAAATTCATGTTTTAAAATGTCTGCATCACATTCTGATCTAGAATTCTTCATGCTGCTTTTATATGTAAGATTTATTGCTTGCTGAAATACGGTATATTCGAGTTTCTCATCCATCCTATTACGCTGTTATTTGACTAAGGCAATTATTGCCCAACTAAAGCAAACATAAAAGGCTTAGTAAACCAAATAAAATGTCAAACTTCCTAAGAAGATACCGACAGAAAAATGAAGCGAGCAGAAGAAATCTACACTAGAGTAAACAAGTTCAAGAGTTCCATCTTATTCTAGTAATCTGATTCAGTTTGGGGATGAAGGAAAAAATTTAGTTATTAGTAAAACAAAAAAGTCCCCTGAATTGAGGTTGTACACTCTTCCATGTAGGACAATAATATATTGACTTGTAACTGTCAAGGCTTTAAAAAAATATCCTCTCAAAAACTTATGCATGTGTTTGCACCATTTCTCTGCAAAGCATGTATGATTTTAATTCACAGTATTTGTACACAATTCATTCCTTTAAGATGCCAGCTAGGATCACTCAATTTGAACACTCAGCTAGTACGATACGGGTTGTCCTTGCTTAATGATCCTTTGTTTGACGACCTTTCAAAGTTACCACAGCACTGAATGAGATACCTGGTCCTCGTAGTTGCAGCCGCTGTAGCATCCCTGCAGTCACGTCATGGTGGTTCGGGCATCTGATACCCAGCTCACAATTATGATGGTCGCAGTGTCCCATAGTCCTGTGATCACCATTTGTAACCTTCACTGCCAGATTCTGACAAGTAAAGTCAATGGGGAAGCCATCAGGCAGTCAAAAATGGCAATCATGTGACCCTGCAATTAATGGCCATGCAGAATTTGTTAATAACAGCAACCTGAACTGTCACAACTTCTGTCATAAATTGGTGCAGTCACATAATGTCACCCTTTATGACCACATTGTTTGATAGAACTGCCAGTCCCAATTGCTATTATTAAACAAAGACTACCTGTACTAAACTCTTCATATTCAAAGGGCATGAAATACCCCATTGCTGAAATAATATATTCTCTGTGTAAGAACCTTTGCCTCACATTAGCATCTGTAAGCATTTGATTCTCAATAACCTCACTTTTTTCACTTTTTTTTTTTTTTAAATTTGATTTATATGCCGCCCTTCTCCGGAGACTCAGGGCGGCTTACAATGCGCTAAGCAATAGCCTTCATTCTTTTGTATATTTATACAAAGTCAGCTTATTGCCCCCACAACTGGGTCCTCAATTTACCTACCTTAGAAAGGATGGAAGGCTGAGTCAACCTTGAGCCTTGGCGAGATTTGAACCTGCAGTAATTGCAAGCAGCTGGTCTTAATAACAGGGTGCTTTAGACCACTGTACTACCAAGGCTCAGGATACAAACACTATCCTCAGGTATGCAAAACATGAACAGAACAGAATGAAGTTCCTTCCACTTTGGAAGCATCAGGAAACACTTCTGAAGACTCTTCCTGCAAAACAGGTATTTGCTAGGTTCCTTTATCCAAAGCTATGGAGGTTTGAGCAAAGATGCTTAATATTCTTTCAGGGGTATGCCACATCAGAACCAAAGATGCAACAAACAAGGCTAGGGTGAGCTGGTTAGCTAAAGAATAAGCTAATAGTCACTTCGTTTGCCACTAGCCAGGGCCAACACAAAATAATGATTAGGAAGACTAATCAAAATATTATCACTACAGTAACTAGGAAAAAAAATAAAGATATTCACCTTTTTCCAGGAAAGGCGATACTAGGTCAGGAGAGGCTAATTATTGGCTACAGAAAAGAATATAGTAGTAGATAACTAAGTGACTTCCACTATAAGAAGGCAACTAAACTGCAAGATAAGGTCACACAACAGAAGGTCAAAATGACTAACCAGTTTTATTTACAACACCCCTTAAAGACAGACACAATTCAAAGGGGGACATAACAAAGGGAAAGAAACAGCCACCATGCCCTTGCCTACCTATTTTAGGTAGGGTCCCCAACACCAATGCCTGGGCTAGACACAAGCATGGGTACTTCTGCCACTTGCTAGTGAACAGCACACACGAAGGCTGTCCCCAGCCCTGCTGGGGCACGGGGGCTGGGCTCTGGGGCTAGCTCAGAAATGCCACCTCCCCCCTGGCGGGGGCTGCTAGTCAAGGTGTAAAAACCACAGAATCTGGTGCATCTTTTCAGCACGTGGTAAGGGAGGCCAGTCAGATTTATCCAGATACAGTTGAATCTCAAAAAGTTTGCACTTGGGAAACTGTCCTGGGCTTGACGCTTCTATTTTTCAGTTCTTCTTCATCATCACTGTACCAACGGGCAGAGCAATACTGTTCCATTCTTCAGACCAAAAGCTCAAGTATTAGCAGTCTAAAATCTCCTGGTTTGTATTGGCAGAATAGACTACATAACCACTGCTACTTCTTTCCCATCAGCCGCTCAGCTTTTCCCTAAGAAGAGCTGGGTTTTGAGAGGACTTTAGGGAGAGTTTAGGTCTGCTGGTTCCCAATGCTTCTGTCTTATTTCACATGTAGACAGACAAGACACATGCCAGCCACTTGGCTATCGTCAGATTAAAATGTCATTTACTAAGGAAAAGGAACTCCTAGGCTCAATTCTAGAATGAAGACAGGCAGCCCAGGCCAGGGAATGCTGAGAAGAAGAGGCAGAAAGCCAATCCTTCCTAGGAAATTCAGAGCCAGCCCCAGGCACAATCCAGACCTAAGGAGGAAACCAACACAAAGTTATCAAATTCATGTACCAGTGGCCACATGCCAGCACTGGGGCTGGGCCAGCCCAAGCCACTTTAGGATTTCTTAGAGTCCTGTGTGTTCCGTCGCTTTAGGTCACTCAAGTCAACAGGTTTGAACGCTGCCAAAAAAAATAAAGGAAAAAAAATTAGGATAAAATTCCAGATTCCCCATGTTATTTTCTTCAACATTCCTAATGACTTTAGCAACAAGAAAATTGCTACGGTAGATTCCACACCATCACCTAATTAATAATACTTTAAATTTTAATTTGGGCTATAGATAACTGAGACATCTAATTAAAATATTTGTATGCTCCGCTATATGTTCTATTCAGTATAAGAATCCATAGCTATCTTTACAACAATGCAACCAACTATATATCTAAAGAGTTGAAAATTCTATCTAGGAATCATAATCTAAACCGTGCAACTAGAAAATCTCTAACATAAAACTGAGCAAGGTTAAATGCAGTGTCTTTCAAATGCATATCTGAATTTATGCAATCATCAAATTCCTAGAGAATTAAAGGCTATTAATCATAAGCAAAAACAAAGAATGTTCAGAGCCAGCAAAAGTTTATATATAGAAAAACACCATTCTTGATCCTTTTCCTCTGAATTTCCTAAGTGTGTTCATTTGATCATTACTATAAATAAAATGTTGGACTAGAATCATACTACTGGGATATTAGATAATACTAGTTCGGCCATCAAGTCTAATTTTCTATCAAGTCTACAGGAATTTAAACTAAAACCTCCAAGACAGGTACAGTTATTTGTTCTTGCTTATGATTAATAGCCATTAATTCTAACCTCTATTAATTTGATGGTTGCATAAATTCAAATATGCATTTGAAAGACAATGCATTTAATCCTACTCCCTTTTATGTTAGAGATTTTCTAGTTGCACAGTTTAGATTATAATTCCTAGGTAGAATTTTCTTGACCTAACAAGAGACACTATGCTATTATAGTGTATATTTTTAAACAGAGTTCTCTCCATTCACCTGGAAACTTTGTGCAGTATTTTGCTCATGGTGTAAAATATTGAAAACCACCACAATATATGAATACAATTTTAATGGAAGATAGCAGGACCTTGTCAAAAGGAAATCTCCAAATTTTGTAAAAAGTATATTTTGTCTAGGGGGCTCACACATTTGCATATAACAGCCTATTTATTGCTAAAAAAAGAAATACCAATATCTTGTATTCAATAAATTGATTTTAAGATCCTAAAGAATCTCCAATTTTTGCATAAGCATATTTGCACAGAAGTGCTCCCCCAAACATAATTTATTTTTAAAAAACACTTCTATTCCACCATTCTATTACTAAGACACCCAACCCAGCTACTAGTAAGACCAGATACTAGATTCTGTAATATGAAACTATGACCAATGACCAGCAACAGACAAATTAATTTCATTGTGAACAATGGTTTTCACCATGTGCCGAAGTCCAAAGTTAAGACAGAAGGAAATGTCAAAGTCTAGGACCGATTATATAAGATATGTTGTTTTATGTAGTCATTTGTTAATGTGCCTCACTACTGATGCTAATGCAATTTCATGGAAGACAAGGGGTTAACTGAAAGTGAAAAAAATAGATGCCAAAGTATCATGACTCTGGACTATCTGGACATTTGAAAGACAACTAGAACACACAAAATTAAACCTGGTAAATAGAAGTCAATTAATATGACAAAGTACTGAAAATATACAGAATATTATAAGCAACGAACCTGAAGAACACATTGAAACTTCTGAATTATCTTCAAATGCATACTCACATAAAACAATGTGTAATTTACACTGGATGTCAATGTTTTGTCATTGAAAAAGAAAGTATCTGACAGTATGAAACTTACCCTTCAAACTGGGATTTGGTACCTTCTCCACATATTCCTCTACAAGAACCCGTTCACCACCTGCCATTTGACTGCGGAGATCCCGCTCCACAGATTGCCATGCTGCAGAAAAGGAGAATATTAAGATAGGAAAATATTTCATATGCAGACAGGAAGCTCTTTCTGACTGATTCAGCCACCTAAACCCTAACAGTGATTCTATGCTACAAGAAATGTTTAAAAAACAAAGAAAGCATACTGTTTGCAATTAGAGGACCCACTATACAGAACTTACAATGTTGATCTGTCAATCCCAAACATGTATAAATGTTTTGACTTTTAAAGACTCTCATTTTCAGTAATTTATCTCCACTTACTCATGCCTATGTTTAAAAAAAAACATAGGTATAGGGAAAAATGACACCTATACTTGTTAAATGGTATGTGGTACATAAGTAATATACATGATAGAAGGCGGCATAATATGCCATGATCTAGCGGAAATGCAGGAAATGCTTCCCACTCTGCACCTTCATAGATGAAGCGCACATTCTCCTCATGTGCAGGAGTGAAGATCTCACTGCTGTTGCTTGGGGAGCGAGGACTGCTGTTTCTCTTGCCATTGTAAACTACTCTGGAAACAGGGGAGCTAGAAAAAAAGGAGATAGGCGACAAAATTCTGATCTCTGGCAAAATTTAAAAAGCAGGACATTGTTAACTTCAGCCACTTTTCCCCAAATCTGACTACAATTCTCCTCAGTCCCTATGGCCAATGGTCTGGATTGCTAGGAATTGTAATTCAAGCGTTAGGTTCCAAAAGTTAAGACCACTCAGGTCTTTTCAAAGAAAAAAAATACCAGTATAAGCAACACATTATTTTCTTGACTGTGTCGGTTACATGTCCATTTTCAATGTGCTGTGGGAATACAGGATTTCCAAATCCAAGTTAATAATCAATCCAAGATTCAAACAACTATCCATCATCATCTGATAACTTACACAGAAAACCTCTAGCTCAACCATTTGCCCGCCTTCACCAAGAAAGAACAGCTGACCAAAAGTCCTAAAGAAGTCATAATACATTCCACCAACGTATTTGGTACCAGTACAAATTCAATTTTCATCTTTCTCACCTTGTCATGGCTGCCTCTTGCCCAACCCTGGCCCAGGTATTGGAAGGATAGGTTGGTGACACTAAAAAAAAAAAAAAGACAAAAGGCTAGAACAAAGGCTGAGCTGACTTAAGGATGGTGTCCCATTAAGCTACACATGAGGGAGCAAATTACTTTAGTAACTGAGCAGGGATAAAATCCGTGCTCAGCCCTGTCATCCTAAAGCAGGCTGGATTTCAGGAATTGCTTTGCTTTACAGACCAAGAGGACCATTTCAGCCATTGTTTGATCACACTGAGAGTATTACACTATCACCCAAACCCCTAATAGTGCAAAGCCCCCAAGACTCTCAGGTCCCCCATAATAATCATCCCAATGTGAGAACTCTTCCCATGCAAGAGTTCTGCTGCTCTCTCATCTCTGCATCCTTAGCTTCGCCCACCGGACCCCCAGAGAGAAGATCTAGCCTTGGAAATGGGATGCCAGCCACTGCCCAGAAGGGAAGAGAAAGGAAACTCTGGAGTCCGACTTTCTTCCTTTCCCCGCGCCGCCTACTACGAACTGCCAGCCCGATCTGGAGCTGGCTCGGCGCTAGGCCCACTGACCCACAAGCGAGTACCTGTGCGGGGGTCAGTTCAGCACTGCAGCCGGGTCGCCACCGAGGACAAGGCGGCCAGAGCGCCTCCCTTGCCTCCCCCCCCTTTTTTTTTCTTTTTTTTTTTATCTCCACCCTCCCAACTCCTTCTTCACCTGGGCCCGGGGAGATCCCGGCCCTGACTCCGCTCGCTGCTGCCAGGCCCGGGCGGAAGAGAGCGCCTAGGCCGGAGCTGCGCCTGCGCACTGAGGGCGAGTGGGTCCGGAGAGCCCCTGCCCCGCGTAGCCACGGGAGAGAATTTCCATGGAAACGGAGCGGCGGGGCAGGGCGCGGGGAAGGGTAGCCATGGAAACGGGAGTCCGAGGCAAGCTCCGGGGAAAGAGAGCTGATCTTGAAATGGGGAGTCGTTGGGGATGGGGGGGGGCCGGGGGGGGGGGGGGGGGGGGGCGCTTTGGCTTAAGTAGCACCCAGAAGGTGCCCAGAGGCAAACCGAGGAGGACGGGCGGGAGTAGGGTTGGGGGGAGCGGGACTTGCACAGACATAAGCCCACAAGGCGGATCAATTCACTAGGGCCATTTGGAATAAGGAAGCCTTCCATGTGTTAAGGTGTCTCATCTTTTCAGCTTGTCCCCAGAGGAGTTTGTGGGTGCAGGGAAGGTGCGATATAAACGTAGTTCGCTGCTGGCTTCGGTTGGATTTCTGGGTAGGCGATCAACCTTAGTGCTGACCAAGGTATCAGGAGGATGAGAAGTGAGTGTCCACATGTATATAACTCTCTCAGCCCTACTCAAGGTTGGTGTTGGGGAAAATAGGAGTCGGGAGTTTTAGGTATGTTAACTGCCTTGAGTTATAATAATAACTTTATTGTCATTGTACCTGTATACACAGTATACCTATACAAAAAAATTCACTTAATACCCAAAGATCAGGTCCAACACACTCATAACAATCCCCAAACACACTCCCACCCACCACAATTCCCCACCCCTAAACCACCCAAACATCCACACAGCAGACCAAGTAATACTGTCCAACAGCTCACTGATGGTGGCCCTTTAGTTCATTGTTGAGTGCAATTATAGCTTTGGGATAAAAACTATTCATACATATGTATATGTATGTATGTATGAATAGTTTTTATCCCAGAGCTATAATATATATATATATATATATATATATACATACACACACACACACACACACACACACACACATATAATAATAGTAGTAATAGTGAGAAAGTTGCTAAAAACAAATTTGAACAGTGGAAACATCATCAAAGTCATCAGTTCCCGGGCCATACCTGCAACATGATACACGACAGGAATTATTTAACTGAACACAAGCCAAATTGGACAGTTTGGACCAAAAAACAAGAAAACCTATGATTATTCACTATGCGTTAGATTCCTGTAGTGAAATTAATAGATTATACTTGCCCTGCAGAAATGGAGGCAAAGATTTACTTCATATCAAAGTTGAAGAAAAAATAGTGTGCATTGGCTGATTATGTAAAAGGCAGCCAAGAAGAAGCACTGATGTAAGATAAAAATCACAATTTATTAAATATACAGGAAACATAACATGAATATTGAAAAAATGTAATAAAGACCCAAATACAATGCCGGTAAGGAAAAGCATTACATGGCCAATTTCTACAAAAGATTTTTTTAAAAAGGGGATAAAAATAAAATCTGACAATGGCTTACAATTGGAACATTCAAAAAGGGACTGAATGCTTAATTTTGGCTGCTCAAAAGCAAGCTATTTAATGGAATCAAGGCCAGAATTAAAAAAAAATAATCAAATGATTCAAAGTTCAGATGATGCAAAGAAGCAGAAGAAACAGATCATATACTCAACTCATGCAAAAAGATTGCACAAACTGATTAAAAACAGCGATACAACACAGTTGCCAAAATGATTCACTGGAACATCTGTAAAAATTATGTGCCAATAATGAAAAATTAGTGGGAATATATAATTGAAAATATAGTTGAAAATGAACAAATTAAAATATTTTGGGATTTTCAAATACAAACTAATAAAATCTTGACCTATCAGATTTAACTGATTGAAAAGAAATTGTGCATAATTGATGTGGTAATGCCTGGAGATACTAGAACAGAAGACAAAGAACTGGAGAAAGTCACAAAATATCAAAATCTGAAAATCAAAATTGAAAGATGGCATAAATCAGCCATAGTAGTCCCATGGGTTGGTGCCATAGCAAAAAGGTGTGGGCAACACTTTAAAAATCTGCATATTGACAGATTTTCCATCTGTCAGTTATAAAAAGCCACACTGCTTGGATATGCACATATAATTATGACATCCTAGGTTCTTCAGAAGAACTCAATGAGAATGAAGGTCAATACCAACTTAAGACCTGGCAGCTGGGATTTTACGAATTGGACATCACGAGGTATCAAAAACTGAAAATTGAAGTTGAAAAATTATGACATAAACTGGCCATGGTGATCCCAGTCATTATTGGTGGGTGCCGTACCAAAAAGGCTTGGACAACACTTAGAAAATCTGCATATTGACAGAATTTCCACCTATCGATTACAAAAGGCCATTTTGCTTGGATCTGCTCATATAATGTGCCAATTTGTTACAACATCCTAGGTTCTTGGAAATAACTCTGTGAACGAAAGTCAACACCAGCTAAAGAACATCAGCTAAAGAACCAGCTGTGGTGTCACAAATTGAAGATCGCAAAGTATTAAGATCTGAAAATCAAAATCAAGAGATTATGGCATAAATATAGTGATCCCAATGGATATCGGCACGTGGGGTACCATACCAAATCTTGGATGACACTTAGAAAATGTGCGCATTGATAAAATTTCCATCTGTCAATTGCAAAAGGCCACATGGATCCTCACATATACCGTATTTTCTGGCGTATAAAATGACTTTTTAACACATGAAAATCTTCTCAAAAGTCGGGGGTCGTCTTATACCCCGGGTGTCGTTCTTCTGTAACCAGGCAGACCAGCCCGAAAGGCTCTGACAAGCCAAGCTCTGACCATCCCAGCTGAGTTGCCTGCTAATCAGACAACTCAGCTTGGATCGCCAGAGCCATTTAAAAAAGTTTTTTCTTTTAAATGGCTTTGACTGCCTGCTAATTGGTAGCAAAAATCCCCCCCTCCAGCTTGCTTACTTTAGCTGCTAGTCGCAACACATGCCTTGCTTCGCTTGCCTGCAATCAATTGCATCAGCAAGCAACTTAATCTCCCTGCCTGCAATCAAGCAGGCAGGGAGTTGTGGACTTCAACTCCCAGAATTCCTCAGCCAGCAAACCAAAGCTGGCTGAGGAATTCTGGGAGTTGAAGTTTACAAGTCTTAAAGTTGCCAAGGTTGGAGACCCCTCTTCTATTGGCTAAGTTTTTTTTTCCCTTTGGGAGCTTTAAAAAAAATAGTTAATGGAGTTTTTTTTTTAGTTGTTCTTTTTTTAGACCTAGCCATTTAAAGTTTAGGTAGTTTTAAATTTAGCTGCTTTTATATAAAAATAAAAATAAAATAAAATAAAATAATATTTGTGCAGCTTTCTGAGATTTTGTGTGTTTCTGTAGTGTTTCACTCTAACTACACAAACACTCAAAATCTCACAAAGCTGTATGTGGAATTTTGTGTGTGTAAAGTGTGAAAGTTGGTTTTTGAGACTTTTGGTGGCTGTGTGAGGTTCCTGCTTGTTGAAGGGGCCATTTTGGGTCTAGCACAGCTGCTTTTACATTGTGGGTGAGCCAGTTGTGTTGTGTTGTGTGTGTGTATTTTTATTTATTTTATTTATTTTATTTTATTTTATTTTTATTTGGTGTGAGTTGGAAGAGGGGTAGTCTTATACAGCGAGTATAGCCCAAACCCTATATTTTAACAGGAAAAGTGGGGGGTCGTCTTATACGCCCAGTCGTCTTATACGCCGGAAAATATGGTACTCATCGATACATTACAGCAACCTAGGTTTGGGGAAACTTCTATGTGCGTGAAGACCAATATCAGCTAAAAAACTGGCAGCTGTGACTTTATTTTGTGAATCGGTTATAATTATAATATTTGAATATCATTGGCATTGACAAAATCATCATCAGTCAACTACAAAAGGCAGCTTTACTTGAACAACTTGCATCCTGCAACAATACCTTTAACACCATCAACAACACTATCTACCTATTCCAGATCCTTGGGAAGGATTGCTAGGTAGGTAAACTGCTAAATCCAGTCTGAATACTTGGCTGACTGTGGGACCAATCATAATATAATAGGAAGGAACATCCTCCACCAGGAATTTACGCTGTAATGTCCCACTGAATGCAGTACATAAGTTTAATTTTCACTCATGATTCTGTATAGTATTTTGGGACTGACTAGAAGGGATTTACAGGGGGGAAAATTAAAAACCTGTCATTGAGAATTTAGTTAATTATTTTGAAGCTCTTCAGACTTCATTACAGAAAAGTTGTGATCACTTCAAGCAACATGCCACACTATAACCTAATGCTTATATTCATAAGCAAGGCTAGACAAGTACTTGTGATAATGTTCAACATTGATATCAATTACAACCTACCTAAGGTGAGGGTGGGTGGGTGCTTGTTTTTGCTTAATTTTCTATTTTTCTTAGGAGCAGCAAATATAAGTACAGGTAGTTCTCGATTTACAACCACAACTGAGCCCAAAATTTTTGTTGTTAAGTGAGAAATTTATTAAGTGAGTTTTGTTCCATTTTACCATCTTTCTTGCCTCAGTTGTTAAGTAAATCACTGTAGTTGATAAGTTAGTAACCCGGTTGTTAATTGAGTCTGGTTTCCCCATTGACTTTGCTTGTCAAAAGGTTGTAAAAGGTGATCACATGACCTTGGGACACAGCAACAGTCATAAATACAAACCAGTTGCCCAGCATTTGAATTTTGATCACATGACCATGGAGATGCTGCAAAGGTTGTAATTAAAAAATGGTCATAAGTCACTTTTTTCAGCGCCGTAGTAACTTTGAACAGATACTAAATGAATTGTTGTAAATTGAGGACTACCTGTATAGGACATACAAACTTCACCTTGGAGAATTCTACTTTCATAAGCTTACTAAGCTTATTTTCATTTATCAAAATCATTGTTTAAAATTGCTTCTAAATAAACAAACATTCTGAAGATAGAAAATGTACTCATTATGTTTAGATAGCTAACTGCTCTAAGTTTTGTCAAAACATGCTGACTTATGTGACACAAATGAACTTCACAATGAGGCAAACTGCCCAATTATAAACTAATAGTTTTTACCACACAATATGTTTGTTTTGAGGGAGACCCAGCCACAAAATTGTTTTCCAAGATAGGTCATGTCTAATTTCATCTAATATCTTATTTTTTCTGGGCCTAATTCTGGACTGAATCATTACCAAGCTAAAACAAATTATTTGGAAAAAAATAATATATAACATGTCCTCTTATCCATAACAAGTGTATTTGCAGAATCAACATTTCAGCATCTGAAATCTATCAGAACTAAGAAGCCCAATAACAGCATATTCTTGGGCACTGTGTATCATAGGAAAAACATAGGAATAATTTGAATTACCACACCTGACCCCTGTATGGGGTTTTACATAACTTTCGCACACACACATGGGTGGGTTGTAAGAATTTCTCTATTTGACATAGTGTGGCGTTCTCAGTTACACTGATCATCAAAACACAGGCACTGTATGAGCAGTTTTATCCTATTTGGGACTCTGAGGGTCTCCTCAGGGTGCCATCGGCCAAGTTATGTCGGCTGGCGGCTGGCGACACCCAGGGGGAGGGCCTTCTCTGTGGGAGCCCCAGCCCTGTGGAATGAACTGCCCCCGGAAATACGTAAGATCTCCAACCTCCGGGTGTTTCGCTGCGCTCTGAAGACCCTGTTGTTCCGCCAGGCCGGGCTATTAACATAACGTTTTAAATTGGGGTATTTTAAATTTCTGGGATTTTAATTGGAGCCTAATTATTTAATGATTTTAAATTTTAATTGTTGTTTTGTTTCTGTGTTTTTAAATAGGCTGTACACCGCCCTGAGTCCTTCGGGAGAAGGGCGGTATAGAAATAAAATTATTATTATGATTATTATTATTATTATTCAGAGATGGGCAGCTATATATTTTTCTATGGGTTTCAAACGCTCTTATTGCTAATTGAACTCAGACCTTTACGCAAGATGATATTGCATATACAATGCATTAGCTTTAAGAGTTATCCAAGTCCTGATGCTCAGTAGTTGCAGGAAGGAATATATAAAATCTATTAGAATGGTATAAACTACCCACCTTCTCTTAAACTGTTACATTACATCATGACCCCTGCATATAGGTTTTACGTATCTTCTTGCATTATTTATCCTCCTCCTATTGAAAAGGTAACCTCTTATAGCATATTATATATTGCTAATGCTATAAAAATATCCAAGTAGCATAATTTCAATGAAGTTTAGTTAACTGGATGCAATGTAAAAATGCTTTTTTCAGATAGTACAGCTAGGTTCAGAGGTTTAACTATAGTAGAATGCATACAATTCAAGCTTGGATGAAGTTTCATTTTCATTTTTGTTTTGTTTTTTAGACAATCCATGTTGCTTCGGACACTGGAATTTGCTTATTCCAAATCCAAATGCTCTTCTCCCCATGTGGATTTTGATTCTACGAGAAGAGTTTTATTGCATCATAACCAAAACCAAATGATTCAACAAAAGCTTGGCTACCATTAATGTAAGAAAAGAAGGAAGAAACATACCCCAAGATTTGGGAATTCCTTTATTGAAAAAATAAAAAGCTGTTTTGGAATCACTTAAAAAATACAGTATAAAAGCAAGTCTAGAATCGGCAACACATTAAAAATAGGACATTATACGCTACATTTTAGATTAGAATAATCCATATGTACATAAAGATGTCATTTTGAAGGTAGATATTTTCATGTTATTTTGTGAAGATTCTTCAGGAAAACGTTGCTGAGGTCATTATTCAAAATTAATAATTGCAAAAGGAGAACTGGAAGATACATGCTTACAAAACATGGTGTCCGGTCCAATCCAGATCACAAATATATATGTAAACTGCCTACACAGTCACACCATCAGAACCAGTATATGTCATCTATTGAATTGGACAGTGAACCACAATAAAGAATGTTGCATTTCTTTTTGGATGGACTATCCCACGCATGTCTCTGAGAAATCCCCAAGTAGTCAGTCTCATATATAGTACCTATTGCAGCTACAATATGGCCTTTTTAAGGAGATCTTACATTCCCTTACCAACTTCATAGGAGCAACTTTGCTAGTTTCCCCCTTTGTACAACAGATTATGCTGTCTGCCATGGAAACTGGGTTTCACATGGAAAAAAGTTAAGGGATACACGCTTAGTTTACATGGGCTGCTTGGAAGAGCTCCACAAGATCCTTGTATTCTGGGTCAATAAGGTCAGATGGCTTATCTCCCTCATTGTTGGTGGCATCACATTGGGCCCCAAGAGAGATGAGGTACCTGGAAGATCAGAAAAGAGAAAGTCATGAAATGCAGCAGAGGTTGAAAGGATCTGGATTAACCTTCTTCTGTTTAAAAATATTCAGTCCATTTAAGTAGTTCATTGTATAATATGGTTTAGGTATCCTTTAGTCACTTTTAATAATTGCAATAAGAATTTGCAATTTCAATCATCTCTATTCTCAAATTTCCTTAAGGCAGGTTCACCCCTTTATACTATTCACACCTGGAGAATATAGTAGTACACAAAAGAGCTAGAGCTATTTCTGCTATCAAGAGTTGCAGCCGGAATCAAATAAATTGGTTTCCCCGCATGCATTGTCCAACTGACATATACTAACTTCTCTTACACATTATATTTACAGCGATATAGAGGACTTTATGATGTTATGAAGTGACTCAATTTTTTTTTGTTTCCATAAAAGAACCACCTTTTAAATAAAATATAAGGATTCCATTTAATTTTTTTTTTGCTTGGCATTTTGGCAATACCAGTTAGTTAATCTGCCAATAAATACGGTATCAGCACTGCTGGTGTCAGGATGAGAGCACTGTGTGATAAGAGAGGATTCATCCATCTCTTGGAATAAGCCAGCAGGCATTTATTTCTTGTCACTTCAAAGTTCACTACCCAGAAATTCAGTAGTGCAATCACTTTCCCCTTCTTGTTTTCCTTGGCCATATAATTCCTGTTTATTGAGAGAGTAGCACAGCCGGCTAAGGGGGAATGAGGTAAACAGTCTATCATCTCTGACCTTGCAATGTCAGCATAGCCATCACTACAGGCCATATGCAGAGGTGTCCAGCCCTCATCATCTGTCTGATTTATGTCAGCGCCGTATTTTATCAAGAGCTTGACGCACTCGAGGTTCCCAGTAAGCACAGCTTCATGGATGGCAGCCATTCCTAATTGGAAAAGATAATATATCAAACTCTAGTCTGTGACAGCCAGGGCACGATAAACTGAGGGGGAATCCTACATTTTTTATCTTAGCACAAGAAAAATCTTTCAAGTAAAGAAAGATAACTCAAACTGTTCAGTTAACATGCATCCACATTGATGTTTTTAAGATTGTTCACTTTTGGCAAAAAGGAAGTAGAAGTTCAGTCAAGATTCCCGAGTATGTTTTCTAAGCTTATTTGAGAATTATTTGATTAACAAAAGGAGTTAATGAAGGCTAGGCAGTCTCCCTAAAAGCAAAATGATCCCCAAAGAGACTCCTATAGTCCTACAATGCTGGACTAAAATAACCTAAACCAGTTTTCTCCAACTTGGCACCTTCCACATGAATTAGGATTCTCCTATCATGGCCAAAATCTATTGGGAAATTCTGGGAGTTACGATCCCAACGAAATCTGAAATGTACCAAACTAGGAAGATAAGACTAAATAATGTCTTTCAGAAAGATCATTAAGCTCATCCTGCCATAATTTTACTTGGGATTTTGCAACCTGTAATTGTCGTAATTTCTATGCTTCTCACACCTTTTCTCTTGCAATTTTTTCTTGCATAGATTTCACTGCACTGAGATAATAATCAGAATTAATGCCTCAAAGACATCAAACTACTTCAAACTTAGGAGTTGGGCATAAGCCTTCAAAGTATTTCTGAGAAGCATGTGCTCTATTTTATTGCTCATCCTGCTTTGTTTGTTTTGCTATACTGAAGCAAATTACTATGTACATAAAGGAAATAAGTTGGTGAGAGTACTATTAAGAAGTTATAGTATTTTTGGCTTATACCCTTCTGGAATAATTCTACTAAAATAATGTGGGCTATATGGCAACTGACAGACAGGAAGGAAGCTCCCTGTTGTTTCCTTAAATCACACTGAAAATGCACCCTAACATTCAACCCATATTTTCCCTGGGATCAAACAGCTTCCTACTCATCCACCCTCCAATCAGTCTTCCACGTACCAGAGGGATAGACAGTATCCAAGGAGACTTTCCTGGCCCGAATGAAACGTCCTACTTGCTCCAAGTCACCCTGTCGAATGTGGTCCTGGAAGAGAACGTCATTGGGGAAATGCACAGTCTTGAGGTGTCTTGCATATCGCCTGTACCTAGGAAGTGAGCTTGGGTGGTAGTATTTCATGGTCACAGAGGGCAAAGGAAGCCCAACAGACAGACGAGGTGAGGAAAACGAGCAGACTTAGAAAGCAGAAGAGCTATCTCACAAAGGTGAGGTGCAAAACTACAATAATGTCTTGAGATCCAAAGGAATAACTCCTCCCAAAATCTTGCAAAGAAAAGGTGAAGAGGAACCCAAAGATGATTTTCTGTTCCTTTCAGGTTGTTGTTGTTTTTTTGACAGCACAGCACGTGGTGAAGATCTGTGGAAGACTGATGATTTCCTCACAGAGTTTCTTGTTATATAGCCTCCCTGTGGCTATTTTGAGGACACTCAGCTCATACTTGTTGCCATGAGATCTTGTAATTGAGATGCCTTGCCTGCAGCCCCTTTGAACATAAATTAGAATCTCATCTTACAGCCCACCTGTCGATGAGTGGTAGTCAGCAGCTTGGACTGCAATCTACCACCAACAGCCTCAGATTTTGCAAGCCACCGTTTGCAATACTCCACATTACTTTCTGGAATTCGTTGGCAGCCATTTGTGCTTTTCCCAAAACTAGTTCACGGATATCATTATAGGGAAAGATTCAAAAACAACAATTATAGAAGTGAAAAGCTTCTACAGTGAAGAATTTTATTACATAAATAGCAATCAATATTTTGTGATCTTTAAGGCAGTTAGGCATTTTCTTAGAGTTCATGCTTTTAATTTGCTGCTTGTAACTTGAAAATCCAAAAATATTTGCAAAAGATATGGGTAGAAAGTGGCCAAGGGGAACAATCCAAGGAATCACGCTCACTCATGTCGGTTATCAATTCTTTCATTGTTAATGTGCTACAACGTATAAATTCTGTACATAAGTGTGAATTCAGAGCTCATCTCTGTATATGACTGTAAATAATTTTTTATCTGATTTAAGCATTTATACACTTCTTATACGAAATAGGAAGGAAAATGATACCAATTTTTAGGAATTTGAGGTCTGCAACAGGAAGAGAGAGTATGAAAGATGATAGCTATTTTGTGATTTTTATTCCATTCACCTGCTTTGCATAAATATAGCCACTTAACTGCACTAGAACTGGAAGAGTAACTGAATCTAAATTGCACTACATGAATGCAACTTTTGAGAATTGCAAAGTATTCATTTTGAGGAAGAATTGAAACTGGAAATAATGGTCAGCTGGAGCTTTTCTGCCTGTTCCACATATCAAGAAAGTGCCTGGGTGCATAAATCGGACCTGGGGAAGTTGTGTTGCCAAAACAGAGTATCAGAAATAAAAGAAAAGGAAAACCCTCCAATTTTGGTGGGAAATAGGAGAATCCATGTGAATTCAGGGAAGACTCCACTAAGTGAGTTCTTTGACTAGTTACCAAAAAGATGCGAAATTCTAATAGTAGTTGCTTCCCATCTATGGATGAATTCTTCTAGTCTACAGTTATATCTAAAATCTCATGCACTACCTCAACTATAACATACATTTTATGTTACGATCTGCACCAAAGACTGTTGATCTTGTTAGACATCCAAGAGTTCTAAGCAAGGACCTTGTATTTGTAGCTCTGGAGATAATTCAGACATTAACAGCCATCTTAAAGAATACAGTATATTTCTCTTTTACATTCTTTTTAGTACATCCAAGGAGTTAAAATTTTGAATTATTAATTTTACTATCTTGATTCAGAAGAAAACTATTTTTAAAAAGAAATTCAGAATGGGTCAAAATCAAATTTAGCTAGCCAAAGCAACAGAGGTTTTCAGAACACTGAAATAATACTACAATTTATTGATTTTATTAGATTTTAAAACAGACTACTTTTAAGTTATATTTTCCACTGAAAGTTCCAATCTGCCTATCTAATTTTAAAATTGCGTAACAGTGGTATTCATTTAACTTCTTTTTACAGAACACAACTGAACCTCTGTAGACATCAAATCATATTTAACTTTGTTGGAGTCTTTGTTGACATTTTTATAGCAGAGTGTTAAATCTAGAAGTAACCAATGGAGAATAATCTTATAATTTCTACCACTTCCTTACTTTTAACTGTTGAATACCACATGCAACTCATCACCCCTCCAACAGAGCTCCTTGAAAAAAATAGGAAGCCAAGCTACTTTTGTAAAAGGAAAACTATTATCATCAGGTTTTCTTGGGGGTATCTCAGCAGGCCTTGCAGAGTAGTGCAGCAACAAGAGGTTCTGATACTTCCCACAGCTTTCAGCTATGAATTAATCTGGGTTGTGCAGGATGAAGGCATCCCCTGCTTGAAACAAGAAATATGGCATCTGTTCTAATTTTTGATACCACTATCAAGTGCTATTAGACTATTAAAATTAGAAAGTGCTGTTGGGCTGCAGACTATTGCCTTCCCATCCTAATAGCAGAAAGATGCTTGGACCGATAGAACTCACTATAAATGAGTTCTTGTCTTAAACATCTGGAGGCTGGGGACATTTCACATTATCTCAAGTTAAAAATCTGGGAACCAACAACATGCAAGTCAGGAAGTGAACTTGTGGGTTTTTAGCAAAAGGTAAACAATCCCACACCTGTATGTGATACAAGCAATGGGAAAAGAAGACCAAAATATCTGAAGGACAGCAAGTTACTTGCTGCGATTCCTACTGAAGCATAGCTCTGCTCAGGCCCAACCATCACATCCAATTAAAAGAGTTGCTTAGTTAAAGTTCAGCAATATTAGGAGGGCCATATGTTCCCCACCCTAATCCAAGTTCTTTCTCAAAGACTTCCTTTCAGGGCCCACACTACCAAAAAACCAAGAGTCACAGATTGTCCAGCTGTTGGTATGAAAAGACCCTGCACATTAAGTACTGTCTGGCTCTTACTGCTAAACATCATAGATCCACGGGAAAAAGCTACTCTCCTATAATCTTCATAGAAGAAAAATGAACTTAAACAGCCAGGCAACCCACCAGGAATATTTCCACCTTACATACTTCTATAAGCAAGAAAGTCACAGTGTAGATTCACATTAAAAAATTACAAAGGTTCCAGGGTTGCAGGGAGAGACATGACATGGCATGTAAACACCAAAACAGCACATATGCATAATGCAGGGCTATTGCTGTGGAAATTCTAAGTTGATATGTACAGGCATGAATAGTTTTGGTGGTAAAATGCTATTTAAAATAAACTAAGCAGCAAAAACTGCATCAGAAATTGCCTGACATCCTCTTCTTCTGCCACAACAGAAAAGAAATTGTCAGCAAGCTCTCCTGCTCTTCAACAAGCAGCAGCAGCTTGTTTTCCTCAGCTACACGTAATGAGGCATGTTCACCTCTCATCATATGACAGAATGACATAGTTGCTTACAAAAATATTGTTCAGTTGAGATGGCCAACAGTCCAGGACTTCATCCATAAAGCAGGTAATAGTTGCACATTACATACTTCTCTGGACGTTTCTTTGAATTAGAAGGAATTCAAAACTTGATGACCTTTAGAAACAATTTGTACTTTGATGATCCTGAACGTAATAGCTCTGTACTTTGGGATGGCAAGGATTTCTCTCTCTGACATACACAGAGTTGTCCTTTAAGTGATACTTAGAATAAAGCTAAAATTGTATCTGGAATACCTTATCACAAATTTTGAAATAAAGATATTGGGATAATGTACAGGACTGAACAATTTACTCTGATTCAGAAAACACAGACAAAAATATAGGCTGAAGCCAACTGAAAAAGTTACCAAATACACTGAAGTTCAAAATTCTATCCAAGAAAGCTCTACGGTATATATGCTAGATTCAAGCCAAGCACTCCAGGAAGCTTCTATTTCAAATATGAACAGAGGGGATTATTTTTTCCTTCCATTAAGAACAATCAGTTTCAAATCAGGAATAAAATCAAATAATTTTAGAAGTATCTTTTCAAGTGAAGGCTATGAATACATGAAAGTCAGAGGATACAGAATGATCCTTAAGGCTTTATGTTCCTGGCGAAATTTGATGGAGTCCCTCAAACCACTACTACATACTACTAAATACAGCAAAGTTCTACAGCTGAGGAATAGCAACTGAGAATTAGAATAGAGCTGGAACCTGGAAGAAACCTTGGAGGTCTTCTAGTCCGCTAGCAGATCCACATATTTGTAAAAAGCATTACATGCTTTTAAAAATCTAAAATCTAATAATGGCATTTTTTTCCAGCTCATAATTTTGAGGTTACTCAGTTTGGCTTGTATTGACTTCAAGTACTATACTAATAATTCATTTCCAGCTTTACTTAATAAAAAGCTGTTCTATTGCTGTTTTTTTATCCAGCCATCATGTTCAGAGGTACTGATTTTTATTTTTATTTTTAAATCTCAATAATAAAGTCAGCCAGCCTTCTCACTGGTTGACTTTATTGTCACTTTTAGTCCTAGGAATTGGCACATGCAACATGAGGGGAGTAAATGCATGTCTTCCTTATTCTTTTTCCCCAATAGCTTCTAAGTGTGAAGATGGTAAATTCCTCCCATTTCCTTTCTCTTCAGCTTTTGAAGTATTGTGAGTTATCCACAATTACAGTGAGTTAAAGAAAAGGGAAATAGGAACACAGGTCTTGCTAGTCCTGCTATATCATAATCACTACACCATCAGATAAGCTATATGAAATAATCCACTAATGCAATTAAATTTTCCCAGATTCTTAATGTTCCATGCAACAAGCAAAATAACTGAAGTGCAATATCTGAGGTAATCTCAGGAGTGAGAAGAATGATCTTTCCAGAAGCCAGATATTTATAGTTCTTCCCAAAGCATTAAAGCAGAAATGTTCAACTCATAGGGAGCTAATACACCAGAAACATTCCTATCCTGTATGCAATTCAAAATATTAGTCTTGACGAGAATTTGCAGTACTTGACACACTAGGCTGATTCCTCAGACCCTACACTTCTTATAAACCAATCTCCCATAAAAATAATTGCATTCCCATTTGTCTGTGGTATTTTTAGTGCGTTTTTTACTTGAGTTTCCTAAGAGTTTAGTTTAGTTTAGTTTATTTATACTTATATGCCGCCCTTCTCCCGAAGGACTCGGGGCGGCTCACAAAAATAAAACAGTAAAACAGTAAAATTACGACTAAAATACTCAATTAAAATCCCCAAAAGATTAGTTAAAACTCCCATCAGATCAGCAAATTTGTTGGAAAAGCCATGTCTTCAGGTCAGCGCGGAAAGAGCGGAGGTGGGGGGCCATCCGGAGCCCAGTGGGTAAACCATTCCAGAGGGTCAGTACGCCCACAGAGAACGCCCTCATCCTGGGCTCCATCAGCCGACATTATCTGGCCGATGGACCCAGAGGAGGGCAATCCTATGTGAGCGCACTGGGTGGTTGGAAGCAGGCAGGTGATCCTGCAAATACCCTGGGCCCATGCCATGAAGGGTTTTATAGGTAAGTACCAGCACCTTGAAGCGGATCTGAAGGACCACCGGTAACCAGTGCAGCTCGTGCAGGAGAGGTGTAATACGGGAGTAACGGGAAGCCCACATAACAACCTGCGCGACCGCATTCTGGACCAGCTGGAGCCTCCGGGTGCACTACCAGGGCAGCCCCATGTAGAGGGCATTGCAGTAATCCAAACGAGAGATGACGAGAGCATGGGTGACTGTACGGAGGGCATCCCTGTCTAGGAAAGGGCGCAACTGGTGCACCAGGCGAACCTGTGCAAAAGCCCCCCTTGTCACGGCTGTCAGAGGTGATATACCAGTAGTTAATATAAGATTGTTTGATCTAGTCCAATTATCCTTTCTTTTACCTTAAAAGGACTGTGGGGGCACTTTGATGCAAGAACAATGAAGTAGCTAAGATAGCAGTATAGAAAAGCCCAGCATACTACTTTATTAATATGATCAGGGGTGGATTCTACTTACCTTTACTACCGGTTTGCAATGGGGCTGCGCGTGCAGTCTTCTGTGCATGCGCATAAGCGTTTTGATGACGTCAGAGTGAGTGGCCGGAGCCTCCCGCCAGTTTTACTACCGGTTCTATAGAACCGGTGCGAACCAGGGGCAACCCACCACTGAATATGATATATAGACTAAGCATAATTAGGGAATCATAGTATATAGTAAATTGGATGGAAAGTCAGAATTGATGCATCTTTCATTCTTATGTATTAGTTGAAACGCTGCATCTAGTTTAATTTTAACCTGGACAATTACAGTTCTAAGACATTATCACAAAACAAATTTGGTGGAGTAAGTGATGGTGAACCTTTTCGGCACAGTGGCCAAACCAGAACGTGTGCATGTGCATGCACGTGTGCGCTGAAGCTCCGGAAACTCGAAGACCAGCTGGTCAGTGCGCATGTATGTGCCGGCCACCTGGTCTTCTGGTTTCCGGCACGCACATGCACACCAGCCAGCTGGTCTTCACGCGTGTCGGAGCCCCAAGTTGTCTTCGGGTTTCTGGGGCTGCGGCACGCATGAAGATCAGCTGGCCGGTGTGCACGTGCACGCCAGAAACCAGAACAGCAGCTGGCAACAGCACGTGGGCCCACAGAGAGGGCTTTGTGTGCCACCTCTGGCACGTGTGCCATAGGTTCTCCATCATGGCCCTAGAGCAATTAGCATGGGGTCCTGCTGTTGAAGACACCAAGTTGTATGTATTGCTTTATATATGTAATGTATTGCTCTTTTTGCATTTCTCTGTTTTCCAAGCAGACTCTTTACCAGTTTGATTCAGATACCACATCCATGCTGTTTGAATAACAAGCGTTTAGAAAAAACTATTTTGAAAATATTTCCTTGAATTTGAATATTTGTACATAGATTTTCCTCTATAGAAATGCTTTTTCTGTACTCCATATAATCTATGACTGGTTAACGTTTCTGTCTGGATGGAAACTATGATGCAAACAAATACTAGCGAAAATTCCTTAATTCAGCCTTTCCAGTCTGCCTCATTTATAGTCCTTCTTAAACTAACCTCCAAATTTAAAGAAAACAGCAAGATTCAGAAGAGTATTAAAATTAACTTTTATTTGGCCAATGAGTTCCATTCCTTTGAGCATCATGGATGCTTAAAATGAATTCCATTGAAACACATCATCCTCTTTGTAATACAGACTTTCCATGGCTCTCAAGTATCCCCACAAAACTCCTTAGTTATTAAGTGTCCTTTTTGTTGCATTCAGAGAAGTTATTTCCCAACAGTCCCCAGAAAACGCATTTGCAAAATAATGTGTAGATAGCAAGGCTTTTGTTTCATTGCAGGTGAGATAGCAACTCAAGTTAGATTTCGCTTTATGGAAGGAGGCAATTGGACTCTCATTCCTCAGCAACGGTTTCCTACCCTTCCAGATCTTTGGATGACAGAAATCAATTGTACAATATAAAGAGGACATGAGACTATGCAATGAGTTAAAAGGACCTACTATACCCCACTTATTCTCTTGGTCAGCCTAGTGATTTCTTCCACATTGGAATGGTCCGGGGCGAGAAAAACCAACAGTAAAGCATAAGGAAGAAAAGCTGGGACAATAACCAACAGTCTGCTGGGTCAACAGCAGCATATGTCATTTAGACAAAGTGTGATTAATGTTTAAGGATGCCTTATTCATGAAATTCCCAAGTTAGTTAGGCAATAGGACATATTATCATTTCAATCTGCTTCTACCCAGGCCGCAATAGTCTAAGGAAATGTACATCACAGTTTTCAAATGAAAGAAGAGGGAAAAAGGCAAGAAAAAAGACCCAGCAGTTTGCCAACTAGTCAGATCCTTCTTCAGCATAGAATAAAACTAGATTTGTTTGACAGGTTGGAGGAATGGGTTAATTTCCCTGGACTCCCAACCAGTTTCAGTCTTCTGGTTAGAATTTGTTTGCTGACTTGCTTGAGTTGGCAGCCGCAGCATAGTGTCTGGGGATATGCAGATTGGACTTCTGTTTACAGTTCATCTTTTTGAGCTGCAGTTTCTTCTTCCTCTTCAACATCTGGCTCCTCTTCTGCATCCTCTAGATCTTCCAGATCCTGTTTGAATGAAGAAAGGACTGGTCAATTGTTTGGAGATGCTTGTGTCTCTAGTTTGATTCTCTAGACAATACAGAGCTAGAGTATTGTGAGAGCAGTTGCTATAGAGACCTTACCAGTATGGTAATTCAGGATCTGCCGTTATGCTTGAAATGTAACTAACTCAATGGGTCTTCTGCTAAAACGTGCAAGACCAGGAAAATCCCATGCATTCCAAGAAGCCACATAACACCAAACAATGGATAACAAAATGCCAAAAGCACATTGTCCACAAGCATTTCCATACAGCAGATAGAAGGGATTTCAAGGCAGTGGGGTACAGTTAGGTTTCCCACATCTTCTGTAAAATTACAATCTTTTTAATGAATAAAAATAACAAAGGGGTAATAACTTTTATCACACATAATGTAATTTCCCAATTTCAAAGTACCTGACATCACAGTTCAGATACCAAATGTAACTAAACTGTCGTTCTCCAGATGTGATGTAAGGTTCTGTCAATAAACAGAGGCTCTCCAGATATTATAGGCAGAAAAAAAGGTTGCATGTTGCATCTAAACTCAAGAATGTGACCCACCAGTTATAGTAAGAAAAGTAAAAACTAGATCAAAACATCTGACCCAGTCAATAATGCCACACTATTCAAAAATAATAAACATCTTTTATATAATAATTAATAGTTAAAATTTCTGGGTAATAGACAAAGAGCCAGTCTGGTATGGTGCTTAAGGCACTAGGCTAGAAGCAGGAAGTGTGTGTGTTATATTCCCACCTCAGGCATGAAGCCAGCTGGGCAACCTTGGGCCAGCCACTTTCTCTCAGCCATAGGAAGCAGGCAATGGCAAGTCACTTCTGAAATCTTGCCAAGAAAACTACAAGGACTTGTCTAAGCAGTCGCCAGAAGTCAACACTGATTTGAAGATGCATACACACAAACAAACAAAATCCTGTTCACAGGATGGGTTCAAAGGATCATATTGATTATAACTCTCTTGTTTATATTTCTTACGGTTTTTCTCAAAGAGCAACCATGACTGCTTATCTCGCTTCAGCTTTCATTTAGTTTACAGACCTAGAAGGTCTGAAATGCAAAGATTGGTCATAAAGTTACTTCTTCATCTCCATTCTAATTGTGAAGTCAATAAATGAGGCAGAATAAAATGAGGAGTATTTGTCACCAAGTAACATCTGGTACAAAATGTTAACTCAGAAAAAAGAAACAAACGTTCCCTTATGTTTAAAGAAGAGTCCCATTGCTTATACCTGCATCACAATATTGATTCTTTACCAGAATAGAGTAGAGGTCATGGTCTTTTTACACAGAGAATTGTTTCTAATTTTGATCCTACCCAATCCTTTGTTTAGTCAAGCCATTCAGAAAAAAAACTGGTAGTCAGTACTTTTTGATCTACTTTAAACCACTGATCATCACCAGCTTGGGTCTAATAACCCAATAACACTTTTTTTTGTTAATCCCATTTTGAATTAAATCTCACAAAACAAAGGTGAAGAATTGTATGCCTTCAGAAATGTTATGTATCAGATTAAATGAAATTTATAATTGTTTTATAAAATTATATGAGTTTATAATTTTTTGAAATTCATCAGGTCAGTTAAGAGTAAGCTAAACTTACTCTTAAGGTATAGTGCCTCAGTGATGCAACCCAAAGCTCTTTGCCACTGTTACCACCTCCTAAAGCCACCAGGTATGATCACCTGAATTCCTTGTAGGACAGAGATGATGCAAAGAACCTGAATTAGGCATCAGACTTGGGAATGAAGGAAATGTTTGCATATTTTAGATCAGCCAAGGCTAGCATGGAAACTGAGTTAGTTGAAAGGAACACTACGGGCGGGATGATGATCTAAAATAAAAACTCTGTGATTTTTAACTAGTTTAGTGGTTCGCCTTCAGCTATGCCAGCTGATCTTCAGAGAAGACTTTCCTCTGTTTCCTGGAGAATAAGCTAAAGTGGAAAAATTGAATGATGCTTTCTAAGCACTATGGTCCAGCCTCATCCTTTTCCCTAGATCCTCTGAAATCAAATACCAAATATGTGAAATGTATTTACCATTCCTTATATCACTAAGCCATTTAACCATTGCTCACTGGAAATTGGGGTAACCATTTTGAGAAAAGCCAAGGAATCGGAATGATAAATAATTCCGTGTAATATATACAACCTATAACTGCTTTTGTATGTGGGAAAGTTGCTATCCATTATTATTATTATTACTACTTTTTTTTTAATAAAGCACTTATAACCAAGAAAAAAAGAAAGAGCAACCTAAACTGAAATGAAACACGGAGGCAGTATTTTGCTTCACCTTAACTATGTACTATGCCAGGAATGGTGCCCCCAAATCATACAGCAATCAAAAAAAAGTTGAACTGAACTAATTTCCCCTAATGGTGTAAAGCAGCGATCCCCAACCCCCCTGTCTGTGGTCTAGCACTGGGCTGCAGCATGCCAGAAATTGGGCCATGCAAACAAGTGAAGCTCTATTTGTAGGATGCAGGCAGCATGTGAAACCACACCCCCTTCAGTCCACGGAAAAGCTTCTCTCCACAGAACCGGTCCCTGGTTCCCAAAAGGCTGGGAGCCACTGGCGTAAAAAGCTCAAAACAGTGGATAACAAACCAAATCAGGAGTTTCCATATATACATAATGGTAAAGAATGTGCTCTAATGCCTGCCATCAAAAATAACTACAGATACCTACATCCCCAGCCCTAGTAAGCAACTTGAAATCACCGCTATAGAATCTACTATGTACAGGAATTCTACAGGACTGTCAGATATAATATGCCATGGGCGAGTTGCTAGATTCTCACATGCCAATATAAATGGATAATCCACAGCATTTCTAATTTTGTCCTTTCATATTTACCTTTTAAATAAGGCTAAAAAATATAGCAGCATAGTAGCAGAGCTAGTAGCATCTCTGTCAATGAAGCAGAGACTAGTTATGCATGCTAAAAGCAACAACTCTGTGACTGAAAGAAGATGTCCACACCTGCTGATGGACTTTTGTCTGCCCACTGAAGATTCAATCTCACGACAACTATGGGTTGTTAGGCCAAGGCTGAGGGGAATGCAAACAATGTTTTTTTCAGCATTCTTCTGAACATGGAAATGTTTTTATAGGCTCCTGCATTTTACATGGCTCAGTCTACATGGAATTGCAGGTATTCTGAACACCCTTACTGCTGTCCCAGCTCATTCTGGATATTACCAGCTGTGTTTTGTTTACAGGTTGCTATGGAATAACATTCTGTTGCCAAAAGCCATAACTAGATTTACAGGCTAGAACTGCCACTTCCTCAGGGATCTGACTTGTGTCCAGCAGCTGAATCTCTCTGTCTCTCTCTCTGTCTCTCTCTCTGTCTCTCTCTCTCTCTCTCTCTATATATATATATATATATATCAGAGCAGAATATCATAATCCTAAAATACTCACATTCTCATCTACACCACCATCTTTTCCACCGCTTTCCAGGAACTTCTTAAAACCTTCCAATGTCCTCTCTCCACTGTAATCTAGAACCTAGAAAACGAAGTAATAAGAATTATTACCAAGAGACAAATCTAGGGCCTCGGTGGATGAAGGATTCACTTCTGAACAGCGAAAAAAATAAAAAATAAAATAAGGAGAGAGGATGTTAGAAAATTCACCTTCACCCATATGAGTCGAAGAGGAGCCAGCCACTAGATTCCCATGAATGCTGCAAGGAAAAAATAGAGGACCATCCTCTATTAAACTATTTTTCCTATACATCAAGGCACACATGCACCCAAGCATACCCCAAAGCAGGCTGGGGGAATCATTTTCCCCTCTGTCAAGTTTCAATGTACAAATGCACTCACCGTTCTATCAGGGCCAGCAGGGAAATACTTGAGAGTAGGGAAACTGTGGACCTTCACAGCCTCAACTTCGTTCGCTGTAGAGTCCATCTTAGCAATAATGATGTTTTCGTGGTCCTTGTAAGTTTCTCCAAGTTTATCCCAAATGGGAGCTAACTGTTTGCAGTGGCCACACCAAGGAGCATCTGCGAACCAAAAGATAAATTATTTTAACAGCTATTCAGCATCCACAACTCTCTCCCCTCTTTTAATTTGGCTGCTGAGAAACTTTCCTCTCATTAATCATATATAATTTCAAACAAGATAAACATGTCTGTGTACACATACATTGCTATCGGTAAAATACTTACAGAATTCCACAAAGACATTCTTATTTTCATCAAAAGCCACCTCCTCAAAGTTCTTCCCAACCAGAACTTTGACAGGCTGCTTGTCCCAGTCATCAGAAATCTCTTGGCTCATCAGATGGGGCTGAAATACACATGCAAAAGCAACAACATGAGAGCAACTGCATGGAATGTGTCAATAGGAAATCCCCACACCCACTGCTCCAAAGTGCAAAGCAACTGGCAAGCCAGACTATAAAAAGGCAGGTTAATATAGATTTGCTCCTTCAAGGTCACACCCCCATCCCACAACCCGAACATATCTTGCATGAGTTCTTGCATGAAGGATGCATAAGAGTAGTTCTGTGTATATTAAACTGTTACTGTCCAATCAGTACTCTTGAAGTTATAAAACATAAGAAATACATAGCACAGATATAAGAATGAAGTGATTATGATGATCTAGTTGGTTTCAAGGTAAGATTTTTTACAGTATACTTCAAAGAGACTTCCTCATTGTTTTGAATGTGTTTCCATTTTTCTTGATCACTGTCCACACTATCTAGAGCTGATGGAAGGTATAGATCAAATGCAACTATGTTGGAAAGGCTTTTAAAATGACCATGTCAAAATTTTCAAGCCATATATTTAAGATAGTCTTAAGCATGTTTTTTAAAGTTACTATTCCATGTGCTGCTTGATCTTAAACTTCAATTATAACTGCCTAATTCTAGATATATCTTTAGTTTATCTCCAGTATGTATACATATTTAATATAGATAGAAAATATCGTTATTTTGCCTTTTATTCCAAAACTACATTTTTAACCAAATAATTATCCCTGTATCTCATCTTATCTATTTTGAAGCTGACCGCCAGAAGTCTCAATAGCACACCTAAAGCAAAAGACGTTTTATTTAGATGTCTTTTCCCTATCATAAATTGGGCTTTATTGATTAAAAACATTCTTATACTTTTAGCTCCATTAGCAATTCCTAACTTTTTTTTTCAGGCAAACAGATCCTCTACATTCTTATGAACCCTGCTTGATTGGTAAGAGAAGGGGGGGGGGGAGAATGGAAGTAAAAAAGCATAACAGTGAGAAAGAGCAAAGGAGGTGATTCAAGGGAAGCCCTGAATAACATGCACTGTAAGAAACATCGAACAGTAACTGGATCTTGGTAAGAGGCTTCCCTTTCCTTTCCAGTTTAAAATAGACATCTTCAAAAGATTCCTGCAAGGTGAGGCCAAGGCCACGTTCCTTCTATCATGCTGAGAAAGGTAATTCTTGGATCTGCACAAGTCACTCTAAAGCAGTTCCCAAATTCGTGCAGCTCACTTTACTAGCACAGTGGGACCATGTAAATCCTGGGACCATGCTCCACTGACTCTGCCCTTTGGATTTCCTAGCCAAAGCTTTGCATAGTGTAATGTCAAACTACTCTGCAATGTGAATTTAAGAGTTCATGCCATATGATACGTCTCAATTTCCATGTGCTACTATGATCAACTCACATGGCTATCTGCTCCAAAAACCCCATTAAAAAAAACCAATTACCTTAACTTTGCCGTCCAAGAACTTGTGGCAGAAGTCCCTAATATTCTCTGGACTCAGATCATCGGATTCTGGTTTGTACTTGGTCATTTCTTCCTCCAGAGTAATAAGGCGTATGGCAGGGCATTCCTCCTTTTTGAGGCCAAAGAACTCCAAGATCCTCTGGTTGTCACTATGGTCGCTGTCAATGTAAATGAACAAGATCTTGGGGAAGAGGAGGGAAAACAGGACAATGTATGTATTAGACAAAAGCATTTGGGACAGAAGAACACCCTGAATTAAGATTTCCCCAAGATCTATCCCATCTCTCTAACTTCTCTTACACTTCATATACAATTCTAAACATTATTAGTAATCTTAAACCTGGAATAAGCAACCCTGTAACTTCTAGCTGTTTTTGAGCAGAGACCCTGAAAATAGCTTGCCAATGGCCAGGCTGGATATAAAAGCAGCAAAGTAGTGATACACAACATGTGGAAGCCAGAATGCCCAGATGATCATTAATGTTACAACACTGTATAACAAAAAAGAATGGAATTTCTATAGAGGCAAAATTCCTGTGGCATTATTTCCTTACAAAATGTCAGGCCTAGTAAGTCTTTATTTAAAATAACAATAGCACTTAGACTTATATACCGCTTCACAGTTCTTTACAGCCCTCTCTGAGCAGTTTACAGAGTCAGCATATTGCCCCCAACAATCTGGGTTCTCATTTTACCAACTTTGGTAAAATGGAAGGCTGAGTCAACCTTGAACCTGGTGAGTTTCGAACTGCCAAACTGCAGGCAGTCGGCAGCCAACAGAAGCAGCCCACAGTACTGCATTCTAACCACTGTGCCACCACGACTCTTTTAAAACACACTTTTTGTTGGCTTTCTCCAGCTACAATTCCTGATTCTTTATAATGAACTGCATTTATTTTATTACAATGGGTTTATACTACTATCATAAATTTTCTGGGATTTATATAGAGAAGAATCAACCTTTAAAGAATAGAAATAAAAATAAGAATCCATAGTTTACATTGTGTAACTATGATTTTTTGAGGGTCAGGGGACTCTGGCAAACCCCAATAACCAAATCTAGACTTTAGGAAAACCCCCCCTTTTTTTTTCTTGGTTCAACACCTATATGAGCAAAATAGCAATAGCACTTAGACTTATATACCGCTTTATACTGCTTTACAGCCCTCTCTAAACAGTTTACAGAGTCATCATATTACCCCCAACAATCTGGTCTTATGATTTTAATTCTTGATGATGTGTAACCATATGAGAAATGGAGTGTATAATAAACTGTACGAAAGTTTGCTTAGGAGTAAGTAATTATGTAGTTACTTTCTTTTATTTACCTTTCCTTTGAAGCCTTCAGCTGCTGTTTTGAAGTTATCCAGTTTACCCTCGTATTCCTCAACACTCTTAGGTAAGAACAACAGGATGTGTGTCTTAATCTCTCCACCAAAAATTTTAGGTGCAGTCTGGAAGAGGAACAGTTGCATTATTGAAGGCAATTACATTATGTGGAATTGCAGGATTGATTTTCCTGACCATTCCACCTCCTCCCTCTAGCCTGTGGGATTCACTACCATTTGTCCTGCCTTAGATCTAAGCTGCAGACCAAATGAACAACATTACGTATCACTCAGAACATGTAAAACTTGTGATATGTTTCTTTACCTGTTCGGTAAATTCAATCACCAAGGGTAACTGGTTCGATTTGATGAAATTCAGGAGGTTGTCTTTTGTTATTTCCCCATCAAAATTGTTACGACCTTCATCAAACTGGAAAAATATACAAGAATTCAGTTTACATCCAGTAAATGGACAAAATATATAGTCATGCAAGAACTTAGTAAAATAATAAAGCAAGAGTGGGTCTACCTATATGCCATAGTGATACAGAAGTATTCTCTTTCTTAATGCAGTATTCAGTTTCTAAAGAGCCTCAGCATTCATTGAGGTTTCTAGGCTAAGTGACACTGCAAACACATGTGCAGTGGAAGGTGGTAGAATACAACTGCCAAAAGCTTGAGAAAAGGACAAGGGCAATATATAATAGCGTGTGATTCCTTGATCTTTGCTCAGCCAAATTATGCAGTAAATGTGAAGTGCCCAATAATTCACTTTTCACTGGCAGATTATTTTAAAATTGTAAGGAGCATGTAGATATTGAAACACATTTCACATTGCAAACATGACACAAAATGCTAAATGCCCAGGGTAGAAACTCAACCAAAGTTCTCATCTTACCACCCAAGTGGATTCAAGCAGCAAGCAAAGGGAAACTTGAGCACATTAAGAATCTCAATGTAATATTTCTGAAAAAGATCTGCCCACCACATTATTCCTAAAAAAATTTAAAAGGTAATTAACTGAATGCTTTAGGTCTCAGCACTTTAGATGTTAGATACTCCTGTTTTAGACAGGGTGAAATTATAGGGCTTGCTTGAATTGGACAAATGTATCCAATCAACAGAACCATTAAGAGGCAGAATTGCATACTATTAAGCCCCTAAACAGAGAGCAGCTTATTCAGAGACAATGAACCCCTGTGGAGCTATTGTTAGCTACAAAGGAACAGATGTACAGCTCTAGCACCAGGAAGTCTCTTATTGCAGAGTAACATCCACTGTTGACCTTTTTTCTCATAACCTTTCCAAGCACTTGAGAGGGGAAGGGAAGCAAACAGAGGAATACAGCCTTATTGGGGGATGGATGTTCTCCCTTCAAAGGCTGGACACTTCTGCTTTTATTCCCCCTACAGTCCAGGTTTGCATACCCCCATTTGATTATATGAACTCTCTTAAAAACCAGGGATGAGGAATCAAGAGATTTGAGAGAGGGAAAAAGCCCACTGGGCATGAATAAGCAAGTAAGGAGGCTTTCCTCAACTTGATGTTGTCCGGATGTGTTACACTTAGATTTCCAGGATTTAAAACCATTGGCCACCCCTGTGAGCTTCAGCCCAACACACTGGAAGAGGACCAGGCTGAAGAAGAGTGAAGCATTTTACAGATAGTTGAACAATCAGTTATGTTGACTTTAAAAATGTGAATTGGGAAATATTTTGGTTCATGGTCTCTACTGTCCTACTGATTCTCTGAGAGGGAAATATTATTGTGCAATTGATGCAGGACAGAAAAAAAAATGCTATGTAATTGAAGAACCCATAATTATTACACCAGGATATGGCAAAAAGATTTTTAGAGCCATTATAATCAAGCTTCTTCACAAAACTTTTGCTAAAGCCTTATTAATTTCAAACCATTGGTTCAAAATGGAAGAATTTGGTGGCATATAGTGAATGAATAAAAAAATATCAAAACAGATTATGCAAATATTTGTCCAATATGTGTTGTGACTGGCAGGACTTTTTGCTTGTTTCTAAAGCAGTGGAAAACAGGCAGACTAATGTATACCAAGCAATCAGGATTTCTTTTCCTCATAGACATACTCACCTTCTTAAAAAGAGCAACTCCATCTTTTTTGAGCTGATATTTGGCAAAAATCTCACTGTTGGAAGTGATCCCGAAAGGAATGTCATCAATGGCCTCTGCTGCCAACAGAAACTCTTTGGCCACATCAGATTCTGCATCCTACATTTAAAACAAACAAAATAAAAAAACCTGCATCATTATTTCAATTATTATAGCCAGCCGGTATATCATGATTTAGTGCATACCGCAGATGCTATCATCTCAAAATTACAAATAACCAAAAAAGTAGTAGTTAGGCATCATATTTTCCCCTATTAAGGCAAACAGGTTTACAAGAAAACTCAAGCAGAAGTAACCATATATCTGCATATACAGATTTGACAACAAAGCCAAATTCTAAACTGTTTATTACCTAATAACTCTGCAATTGATTAGTTTGTGTTTCTGTTATACTGCCATTTTCCTCCTCCATCCCAGGAATTCTGCCATTGTCTTTTTAAAAAATCCTTCACCCTAATTTATAAATGAAAAAAATACCTTAAAGAATCCAATCACAGCAACTTCATTGGATTCCACTAGTTCTTCCGCAGCAGCTACATCTGCCAGGGTAGTGGCTGCAGGTCCTGTGCGTTTCTTTAACCAATTTAGAATGTCATCTGCTTCTCTGCCAGCTAGATTAGAGGAAAAACTTACTTATCAGGCATCGTACTTTCTTCTGTCTTTGAAGACTAAATAGAGAATAAAGCTTCACTCCCCCAAGGCTAATAAGGCTGAGTTCTACTTGTGTGCTCCTATATCCTCACTGTAATCTTCACTTATCTTAAACCAAACCCTAAATGCTCTAAAGCAGAAACAATTAATGTTTCTATACTAGGGTACTGTAATGTAACTGATTATTGTAGTTGTGACAGAATCCTTATTATTGAAACAGTCTAGGCATTTACAGGGTACAATGTCACTTTTTTAAAAGAAAGGCAAGAATTAGGAGGCACTATTAAGAAAACACTTCATCTACAGCAGCACAGTGGTATCTTTATCATTAAAAAAGCCGGAAGACGGCACACTGCCCAGCTGTTGAGGCATGGAGTTGTCTACTAGGTACTATCATTTGACGCTACCTTGTCTTATTTGCTATGGGCATTCTACTTGAGATTGGGAGTATTCTTCCTCATTAATATGACCAAATCTTTGAAAACTAGTAAGGAACATCCTTTAAAATTTAGGCCAAAATAGGACTTACTTGTACAAATAATAAAGGTGGGATATAAAAAAATAAACATCATTTTTAAAGTGCTGGAGTACAGTGAAAACCATATGCCAAGTCTGGATCGGAATTTCTCCCATTTTCCCAGAAAACAAAGTAAAACAAAACCTCCTCCATCACTGGTCTTTGGGGTCCTTGGTGCTCTAGGAGGTTGAGAGCACCCAGGACCCCACAGTTCAACCCTGAGCTACAAATACTCCCTTCAAACACCAGTCAGCTCAACCTTCACTCCCCTACCCCCACCACGTGGCTTCTGGCCACCAAAGTGCTTCATTCTTGGTCAAGGGCCACATTTTATGTACAGTCTGACATAAAGCCAAAATTGGGTGGAACTATTATGTCCTTATCTTCTACATCATTTTCTGTCTATTCGCCCTTAACCGTCTATTCTTACATGTCTATGTGATTAACCCAAGCATCAACTACGTTACTTCTCCCAAAAGCACAGGGTTGGAGATCTCACATAGAGAACAGAGGTTGTATCTGTACTCTACATCAGGAAACAAAAATCTATATGGAGAATGCAACACAAAAGAAAACTAAAACATGTTCTCTAACACTCCAGAGCTCAGGAGATTTAACCACAGGAAGGAAGATTCCAGTACAATGCTAGGAAAAACATACAATCATTAAGGGTAACAGGCAAACAAGCCACCTGGAAAAAGTGTGTTCTCCAGCACTGGATGTGTTTAAGCAGACTGGACAGCCCTCTACTGGGAATACTTTTATTTGTATTCCTGCACTGAAGACATGGTAACTAAAGTGGTCCTTTCCAAATGTCATGATTCTGAGATTTTAGTTATTTCCCCACCAATGTATGGCTATAAAATGCATAAGGCCAACACTCTTATTTCAGTTAGTGCAGCCCTGCAGTCCAAATCAGGTGCATGTACACATGAACCCTCAGCTAAATTCATAAATTAGAAGTCAAACAATATTATTGGCTTCGTCTTACTGTCTTGTGGTTTGTAAATGACTGACAGTGATGTGCTAACTGTGTACTACAGTAGCAGGAAATAAAGTTTTCTCAGAGAATTTGCTCATGCTTTACTTTCAAGTCAGACCTTATAGCCAAAAATACGATAGCTTTCATAACTGGAAGCACCTCCAAATAGTAAGAAAGAGGTGCCTTGTTCTTAACTTCACAGAAGGAATAGCAATTAAATCCAGTCTTTCTGCATTTCAGAAGCTCTCAAATCATTCACACCATTCCAGTCCTAAGCTGAAAAAGCAAGCTCAAAGCCCAAGGGCAAAGCAAGCTCATATTATTGTTCATAGTTAAAATTATGACATTTCTTTTGTCTTGTGCTTCTAGTGTTCTTACAACAGCTTGAAAAAATGGTGACCAAACTCCCTGCAGTGCCTTTTCCTCCCTCTACAGTTGCAATATGTGCTGTGTATCACACCCACAGTAATGATTCACAACCATGTTAGACAAGATTTATGAAATGGACACAAGTTGAGATTAATTTATTTACCAGGCTTGAAACACCTGTGAAAATGTCAACATAGAAATATTTTTACAGGTAGTCCTCAACTTACAATAGTTTGCTTAGTGACCAAAGTTACAATACACTGAAAAAAGGGACTTATCATTTTTCATATTTACAACTGTTGTAGCATCCCCATGGTCACATGATCAAAATTGAGATGCTTGGCAACTGATTCATAGTTATGACGGTTGGAGTGAATGTGACTACCTTTTGTGACCTTCTGACAAGCAAAGTCAATGGGGAAGCCAGATTCACTAAACAATCATCTTACTAACTTAACTTTAATGATTCACTTAAGGTGAATAAAAGGTCATAAGGTCATAAAAGGGGGCAAAACTCAGTGAACAAATATCTCTTAGCAACAGAATATTTGGACTCAATTGTGGTTGTAAGTCGCATCCAGGTGACCTGTATTTTAAACATTTCTGTGCTGACATTTTAAATATGGTTTGCTGTTCAAGTCAGGATTGGTTGAATATTAGAACAACATATAAGTCTAGTTAAATGAATACCATATTTGCTGCCAAATATTTTGATAGCTATTTCTTAGGGAACCTGTGGCTGAAATTCTGTTTCTAGGGAACACCTATTACAAATTCAATAGCAGACCACACTGCACTATATAGTAAGTGTAATAGATAACATTTTACAGCTATGCCACCATCACATTCAACACAGTAACTTACTAATTTTCTTAAGTGTAATTATATATAAAGGACTATGCTTTGTTTAATTACACAAAACCAAACATAAAACATTTTAGAAGGAAAAGCTTTGTCAATATCAAGTCAGGTTGTGACACAGCAAAATTATAACAAGAGGCCCGAAACAGCTGCCTAAGTCTCCTCTAGCAATCTACAAGAGATAGTAATTATAGATGTACTAATTATAGTAAAGATGATGACTAATGGACAAAAGCTAACATGCAAGGACAAAGGGCATAAAAGTTACCAGTAGCATGCTTTTGATGGGGCTTTCTGACCAAAGTCTGATATGAAAAAATTAAAAATAAAAGCCAATATTTTAACACCGTTTCGAACTTTAGCACTGTAATCCTTCAAATTCAATAAAAATGATCTTTGGAATAAACAGAATATCTACAAGTCTTTATACTTGATGTTTCTTTTCCCAGGAGTAAGCTCATGATCCTAGAAAAAGATGCATCCTTTTCCTTCAAATCTAAAGCACTGTACAGTTTTTCTGATGCAACAAATGTTTATTAGCTGTTCTCCTGTACAAAACCCAGTTAATCTTTGGTTCTATTGTGCAGTTAGTCCTCTAAGGAAAATTACAATTCTTTAACAGCTTCATGGTGCTCTCACCTGTGTATTCTTTGGGAGAAGACTTATCTCCATTCTTGAAGAATTTGATAGTAGGATAACCCCGAACACCAAATTGTTGGGCGAGTTCGGATTCTTCTGTAGCATCTACCTTAGCCAATCTGATTTCAGAGTTTTCAGTTTTCAATTTTGCTGCTGCTTTCACATATTCAGGTGCCAAAGCTTTACAATGACCACACCATGGTGCATCTGTGGAAAAGAAAATTGAAATACTAGAAAACATAGCATCAAATGAATTGTGTATTTTCTACATTTTCTGCTGATACCTTCTATTCCTAAGAATACACTTTCATTACAAAACATTTCTCAATTATTCTCGAATAGACAGAATTATATCAGAATTTTATTCAAAAAGCTTCACCTTTAATTTATATACTGCCTATAAACTTGCCTAGGCCCATGAATTTCCACAGTAAAAGCGCATTATTCTCCTACAGGAAAATTACCCTTAAAAACAAGTGCCAAAAAGAATGTTTGAGGTACATCTTTCAACTTTAGAACGCCACAACAGACCCTTAATACAAAATACTTGGTATCATAGCTCTCACATTGTAAACAATTCCTGCTAAAGTTGTGTGCCAAAATTAAAGTATTCCAGAAATCATTGACTGTGACAAATGTTTGATAAACTAGGCTTTTTTAACACTACTGTGAACTTTAATTAATACTGAGAAGAAAAAAAAGTAGGATGCTTTACTCTTCCCCCCCCCCTTTCAAAGTTAAGCAGCAGAAAGTGCAACTATTTTATGGAGGAAATTAGCAAGAGTTGTTAGGAATTACGCCATCCCTCAACGCCTTCCACATGTGGAGAGTGTCACGTCTCACAAAATTAAGACGTGTGCTTAGAGCAGCAAGAAAGGGCAGTTTTCTTGCAACTAAGGCAGTATATATTAAGAAAAAAAAACGGCTACCTCTACTTTAAACCAGGATTTGTAAGTTTCTTTATAAAAAGCATTCCGCTGTGTGGTATATTTCGTTTTACTGATAATTTAAAAAAAAAAATTCTATCCGTCAGCAGTATATAAAGGTTCTGCGGGGAACACACAACTACCACGGAGGGGCACGCCTGACGCTTCCACTTCCAACGCCTTCCCTTAAGCGGCACACCCCCCTCTCTTCTTTCCACATATACGGTACTTCGCGCAGGCCTTGCTCCCCTCTCTCCGGTCTGGGAAAACCCATTAAGCTTCTCCTCTCAGGCTTGCAAAGCCCGTCAGTCACCCAACAAGCCAAGGTTGCCGCCTTGGGGGCAGTTTAAACGGTCAGAATATGAGCAAGCCCCGTTTGCAGCGGCCGGTAGCCGAGAGCCATTCGAAGCGCAAGCCCCGCGGAAAGCCGCCGGGGCCTCTCCCAGGATAGAGAGAGAGAGAGAGGCAGGGTGGCCTAAGGCCGCAGAAGGGGACCTTCGCCTCAAAGCCGCGGAACGGAAGGCTTGCCGAGGGGGACCCCATACACACACACACACACACCCGGCGTCGCGCCGCGCCCCCCGCGTCCCTTCTCCACTCACAGAACTCCACCAGGATATTCGGGTATTGCTCCAGCGCTTGCTCGAAGTTGGCGGTCTTCAGCACCAGCACGCCCTCCTCTTCCTCGATGTCGACGGCGAGGGAGGCCTGACCCAGCCACAGCAAACACAGCACCGGAGCGCAAAGATGGAGGAGCTTCATGGCGGCGGCGGCAGCAGCGAAGGCGACGACAGCGACGGGATCTCCAGGCAAAGAGACCGAGCAACAAGAAAGCACGGCGAAAGAGAACGGTCGAACCCCGCCTCCCACTTATAAACCCGCCCTTGCCCCGCCGAGGCTACCGCCTATTGGCCACTTCCGGCCTCCTCCGAGTGACTTCTCATTGAATGGGCGTCGAGCCCCGGGTCCGCCCTCGTTTCTTGATTGGTCGCTGAGAAACCTAACGTCATCTTTCCTTCCACCTCCGAACAACCCGGAGAGTTTTCTGCGTTCCGTCCACTAGGATTGGCTTGTCAGACTTCATGGTTGGCTGCGATTGGATAACAGCGCCGCTCTCGTTCCGCTGTTCGACCGCCTTTGATTGGTTGCTTGGTGAAGCTTTAAACAGAGTCTACCTCTTCCTCCATTGCATTTCACCTCTCGCCTTTGGAACGTGGCATCTAGGAAGACTGCCCGTTTTGTAATGCGCATGCGCGTTGGAGGGGTCTCGTTCGTGTTTGATTCTGACTGGGCCGCGTTTTATAAAACGCCCGGAATAATAACCGACGAGTATTTCCGGGTCAGAAGAAATCGAACACATGTAGGCGTTTTCTGTCGTTGGAGATTTCGTTTAGATTTTAGAAGGTGGGGGAGAAAAGAGGAAAGGAATTGGCTGAGTGGTGGGAAATATGAACTGTGTGGATCAATCTTGTGTAGTAGTCAAATTGCCTATAAAGATAATGTACGAGTGGGAACTGGGCTGGTTGGAAAATTACAGGTGGGGAAGTCGAGGCTACTTGGTAATGCAGTTGCCTGGGATAAAGAATGTAGGCTGAAGTTAGAGTGGTATTTTCTCTGCTTCTTAGGTAAAGTCTTCAAAAGTCTCGCCTTCCAGGAAAAGGGAAATATTAAGAGTATTAACCACTACTGGGTGGCCTAAAAAATTAGCATTCTCCAAACCAGCCCCTCATGCATTTATGTACTTTTAAAATATATACAGAATAGAACTGTGCAGATCAAAATGATTAACAAAACTAACAAAAAGGAATAGGCAGAAACAGTATTTGGCTATTTTAATGAAAATTGGAGCACTTTTCACATCAGTACAATCCTTTTCTATCTTGCATAAAAATAAAAATGATGAATATGTGAAACGGGGGTGTTGTGTCACATTTATAGCATGTGTTAAAAAATATGAATAAAAAATAGGTAAAGAAATCCCTGTGGATTATTTTTTTTTTTAATTTGATTTATATGCCGCCCTTCTCCGGAGACTCAGGGCGGCTTACAATGCGTTAAGCAATAGCCTTCATACTTTTGTATATTTTATACAAAGTCAGCTTATTGCCCCCACAAACCGGGTCCTCATTTCACCTACCTTAGAAAGGATGGAAGGCTGAGTCAACCTTGAGCCTTGGAGAGATTCGAACCAGCAGAAATTGCAGGCAGCTGTGTTAATAACAGGGTGCATTAAACCACTGTACTATCAAGGCTCTTCTTGATTTTACTCCTCTATCATTGCCAACTCTGGGAGTGGAGGTGCTTATCCATTTCAAGGCCATTGAGCCAGCAGTGTCCGAAGACATTTCCATGGTCATTACTTTCCCACCAGAATGGTACCTATTTGCATGCTTTCATACTGCTAGGTTGGCAGGCGCTCCCCCTGTTGTATGTTGCTCGGCTCTCAAACCTGGGTGCCAGCTTTTCCAGCTAACAAGCCTAGCGTCAACCCTGAGTCACTGAGCCACCCCCAATATAAAAAATAGGCCTACATATAAATGCAAAAAACTACCTTGAATGCTGTTTAATTCCTGCCTTAGTAAAACGAAGTGACCCTTTAACTTGCAAATAGCAGTGATTTGGCATTGCCAGCTTCTAGGTTTTTTTTAATTGCATATACAAAGGTGCTCCAATGATGCATTCATAAAATCTGATAGCTGATTTTGTCACATTGTGCACATATTGGCTAAGATCGCATATTGTATTCTAAACATAAATTATTTGCTGGTATGAAATGTAAAATAATATAGTTTTGTGAATAGGCCATAATTGTTTTGTATCTACTGTTAAGCCATCTGAGTTGGTTCATGCATTGTACTAATTCAGAAAAACCAAAACAATGTTATAGTTTATTCCAGTATGAATTCAGGCACTAAGTTACCAAATCCAGGCGTATTTTAGCTGTTAGTCTTGAGAATATTCTGTTCAGGACAACTATAAATTATTTATGAACATTCTGGCTTTTCAAATTCTGTTCCTGTAAAATTATTTATCAGACACAACTATATAAGATAGTTCATGAGATGGTGAAATTAGCGGCTGTGCATGTGGTATTGCAATAACTGTTAATACAACAGGTTTTTTTTAAAGCAAACAGTTAACTACAACGGTCAACTGACAACTCTGAAGATTGCAACAACCACAGATGTGAAACATTTGTGCAATATTTTAGAACACAAATGCTTTTAAATTTGGCCGTCTAAGTTAATTTTTATCATTTGTAAAGTGTTATAGATGAAAACAACCTTCTTTAGCATTAAAAACTCTTTTATTAAATTATAAATTATGTTACAGTAATCTGATTTGTACTGTCATTTGTACAGAAATGTGTACAGTAATAACTACAGTAGGAAGCTTGGCTATAATCAGTTACTTGAATCATGATTTTCTCTGGTTTGTTTAAATCTATAATTTGTGGCTGGAATAATTAATTTCACAGTAAAAAAATCCTTTGAAGGTAAAACTATGACACACTTTTGAACAACCCAAAACAATTTTATGTGTAGAATAACAATGATAAGGTAAAGCTGATGTTAACCATGTTAATCTACATTCAGAATGACTGACTTCAGTACTGTACAGTTTAATCATAAGCGAATGGACCTATAACTTTTCAATATAAGAAAATTACGGTAATTAAATGAGATTTTAGTCAATTAGGATATTCTATAATGAAAAAAGTTTTACTATGTTTTATTAAAATACAAGTATAAATGAATCTCATTGTAACTTATTCATGCTGTTATGTCAACAACCTAAAATTTGTAACAGGAAAAAGCTATTCGTAGCCATAATTTGCATACCACTATCTTTTCCTGCAGTGTGAATAGGTCACATTCTATTATTAAAATGTTTCTAGTTTTAATTAATAATTGAGAAACTGTAGTGCTGTATTTTTAAGTAGGAATTCAAGGCTGAATTGCTTTTTAATTTCTAACATTCAGGTATAAACTCACCTCACAACAAGCTGCTATAAGCAAGCAATATTCCACTAGCCATGGTAGCTCTGTATAATTTATTTCACCATCAGCCCACCAATTAATGAAATTGCATTAAAAAAAATGTTTAAGAAATTGCCTTTTCCCATAGAACAATGCCACTACCCTTTTATTAAAGCAAGTGATTAAAACCATTCTAAATCAAAATTGCTTGAGTCCAACATTGAACTAGTAAGTGAAGCATGCAAAGCTACAGAGAGTGAAAGTGGAAAGTGTAATGGCCTTGTGAACTCAGGAAGTATGTTCCGTTCTATTGAAGAATCTATTTTAGTGTGCTAAAAGTTTCGAATTATATTTTTTAAAATTTTGCTTAAAAACCATAAATATGTACTGTGGAACATCACTGCATATATGCCCAACTAGTCTGGTTGTACCTATGGGAAGGTAACCATTTAGTTTGATGCCACTCAACTCAGAATTGAAGTCATTATCAGTACCAGCAAGCAACAGCAGATATTTTGGCTAATGCCTCAGTAGCCTAATATCAACAATTATGACTGTTATAGAAATGAAAGGCTGGAACACATTCCTGGGTCAGACAGATGCATTTATTTGCGCAAAGGTTCAGTGCAGTTTTTGGTTGTTGCAAAACTGAACAAGGACAAGTTATGATTTCACGATTTATATATGTTTTCAAGACAAAGAGTTCTATGAGCCCTTCCGGCTTCCATATATGGTTACATTATAAGTACATTATACTTACATTACACTTTACTAATTACCAAACCATTACATACTAGTTAATAAAATTATTTTGGCTACACATTTTTACTACTCCATCATTTACTAATGATTAAACCATTACAACTTTACTAACCCATCACTTTATAGTTTACAACTTTCCTTTAAGTGCTGTAATGTTTAAATGCAGAAATTATGGCTATACTTTAAACAATAAGTAACTTTCTGTCTCCCATGTATATCCTTTCAGATGTTCCCATATATCTGTATTTCCAAAGTTTTGATTCTGTTAAGAAGATATATAGAATCAGTGTGTTTGACACAGTGTCATAGGTCAAGTAATTATGAGGAAAGCCATGAACTAATTGCTTAGCTTCTTTTCTTTATCCAAGTCAGTCATCTACCAGAACACCATTCTTAGCTTTCCTGATGGATGACAGCTGGGCCTCATCAGAAGATATATTTACCAATAATGGGGTTCAGCTGCCTCTAACAAGCACGTTTCTCTTATAATAATGTGAATAGAGAGGTTCTCTCAAAGTTCAATAGAGAAGGTTATTCAGAGTTCATAGATTTGATCTGACTTTATGTATCTGACTTGGTATGATTATTTCTTTTATTCATATTATTTCTTATTTGCTATATTTACCTCATGACTGTAATGATAAATTAAAACTCCTGAACTGTGCAATATACAGGTCTTCTATGGAAGGCAGGCCAGTTGCAATTGTTCTTTCTGCAGGCTTTAAGCATCCGTTGGACTCTGTACCTGTTGCTATATCAAACCAGACAATTATAGAAGTACAAATGACAGACTCAATAATTCCTCTGTAAAACTATCAGCAGCTCCTGGGGCAGTCTCAACTTTTGAGATGATGCAGGAAGAACATTTTTGTTGTGTCTCTTTAATGATGGTTCTAATATTAAGTGTCCATTTTAAACCCTGGGAGATTATAGAACCGGAAGACCTGAAGGACTCTACTTTTGTTACTGTGCTGTCTGTTAGTAAGAGGCAGTAGAATAGAAGGCCTCCTCCTAAAATCCACTCTACAAATTTGAGTTTGTACTTTGAAGCTTTCTGTTTGATTTGGATGAAAGAGTGGGTGCTACTGAGAAAAGGAAGGCTTTTGGAATTGGAAA